CACGTTATAAAAGTGAGTGAGTTTACAGAATGCTCCGGTACTGCTACCGCTATGCGCGGGAGGATGCGCAGTGGTCGAGGAGGTTGCGAAGTAGCTGTGTAGCCTGCGCATCAGCTCTACACTTATCTACACAAGATTCGCGCCGTCTATCAAATGTCAAGCGGTGGCCGAGTTGTCTAAGACATCGAATGCGAATGCGTCTGCTTGAAACTCGATGTGGGTTCGATCCCCGACTAAAGAGGTCCTAATTATTACCCTGATTATCATTGTTCATTGTTTTACTCCAATATTTCATCAAGCAATCATTCCAAACGCGTCCTTTTAATTTTAAAGTAATTTTAAGTAAAGTTTAAAATTAAAGTATGCCTCATATCGTAAGTTTTTAGGGGAAAAATAAAACTAACACTGATAGGAGGGTAAAAATAGGGCCGCGAAGCGGCCCATTGATGGCGCGGAGCGCCGTCAGGGGGTTGGGCCGCGTAGCGGCCAGGGGGCGTAGCCCCCTAGTTATCAATAATATGAGAGGCGTCACATTATTGGCGCCACGTGTCCATGACGCGTCGTCGTGTTAAGGAAAATCGCCGCCTGGACCTCTCTAGACGTCGCCAAAATTCTTCCGACCAATTACGGATTTTCCAGGAAATTTACAAATATTTTCATCAGCATTTTTTAGAACATTTCATTCACTACTTATCTCAGCATTTCTAAGAATTTCAAGTAAAAATTCTCATGCATTTTGTCAAAAAGTAATTGTTTTATGGGACGAAATTTCGCCACATCCGAACGATCCTCCGGTTTTTTCCTTTTGGTCTCCGCATCATCCTCCTCTTCGGCGCGCCAAATGCTCGAGGGTGGCCTCGAAAAGTTGTTCTTGGCTCGTGAAATAGTCGCGCATTTGCCCCCCTCCCCCGCGGTCCGATGTGATTGACCCAAAGCCTCCGAACCTGAGCGACCACGTCCAGAAATCCATCGCACATCGGGTCACGGCCGATCCGAACGTTTATTTGACAAACAGTTTCAAGCGCCAGGAGTTTTTAAGATGGTGAAAGTGGCAAAACACGTCTTTCGATTTGCGACCTTGCAGGTCTCTCGTCACATTGTATTTTTTAGAGGGAAATGTGATGAACATTATTCCTTTGCATTTTTGCGGAATTTTCTTCAACATGCGAAGATTATTCCGTGAAAATTTCAACAATGGAGTTGTTGCATGTGTGAGAAATTTGCGATTTGACTGTTGATTCTTTTGTAAAAATTCGCGAGAATCACGATGGTGCGACTGGTTTTCTCTAAAATCATCTCCCAAGCTCAAAAAAAGTTCTCAAGCTGAGGCCAAAATGGAGGGGATACCTATCCCACGCTATCCTGAAAGTCCACCTCTACATCAAGACAAACTCTCCATGCGAAGATAGGGAGCAAATACATTAGGAGTGATGCCGTGTTTTCAGCTTAAGAGTCCCCAAATAAAGCGGCAGCCCTGTCAATGTATTTGCTCCCCATCTTCGCATGGTATCAACATATTTAGGCCCTCCGAATCAAAAATCCGCGGTTCATGTGCGAAGTATGCAAGATTTTGCGATAGGTAACGGAAGTTTTCGATTACAGGAAACGACCTTTGGTCCAATAACCAAATTTTTTGTCGCCATACCAAGACTCGTTTCCTTTATCGCAGGATTCGGTTAGTTTAAACGAAGATTGGTTTCGGTGACAAGAAATTTCGTCAGCGTGGATCAAAAGCTTACAGGCTTCGATCTGCACGCGGTTCGATCCTCGTAAACAATATGTTTTCTTCTGTGCAAATGATAAGAGTGTTTTCTCTAAGAGTGAAATGGAAAAATCGAGAGGTCTCCTAAGGCATTGGTATTTTTTTGCGACGTAGATTGATAGTAATCAGTATTCCACCTTGGCTTTGAGCATGCAGACGCCCAAGAATGTATGCCAATGACGCAGTCTCGCTCGCTGGTCCTCACGCGAAAAATTAACTTTTTTCTCGATGATTACGGATTACCTCCTGTGATCGCGGTTTGACCATCGATATAAAATAATCATTCGTCGTGCCCAGAAAAACACGCATCTCGGTGCGTGGTTCAAAGTATAACGTATACCTATTTGTATTAAACTTATACCATAAAAACTAGTGTCGGAAAATCTCCGCCTCTATGTTATTTTTTTTAGAACGAATTGACATCCGTCCTTGAAGTTTTTGCAGAATTTTCTTTGGACAGAGAAGAAAAATCATGGCAGTTTTAAAGAACTGCCGTTGAGTGGCTGTGCGTTTAAAAAAGAAAGTACCTATCAAATGTGTTACCTCAATGTGTATGTCAATGATCCTCCAGACGTTCACCTATTCTGGTCATTTTTAAGGCCTGCCATTTTTTAACCAGGTACTGAGTGCCTTTTTCCATGCTCTCAACAAAGGAATTGTGTCCTACGTTTAGCGAAAGTCAGCGTATTTTAAGAAACGAAGAAAAAACAATATCTCAAAATTCGGTCCGAATGTCAGAAGAAGTCAGGGAATGGGAAATTTTGGAGTCAGGGAAAAGTCATGGAAATCGGAAGTGAAAAAATTATGGCAACTCTGGAAGTTGCGCGCTTTCCGGTCATCTCGTGGTTGTGGTCACTCGGATTTTTGCGGGCACTCGAGGATTCGCGCGTCATCGCGGCGAATCGCTCTATTTCCGGACACACTCCATTTCCGGGAACTACGCACACTCTAGTTCCCGACCAATTCCTAAAATAAGTAGTCCCATCATAGAATTTTTGGCTCTGTGACCATGTAGTTTTTCTGTGCAGTTGAAAAAATTCCATTCGACTGTCTCTACATGTGAATATTTCTATAGGAACAGTCCAACACTCTGCCTAGCAAATAAGTGCGGACCGCGTTCAACAGTAAGTAAGGAACCCAGCCACATCAGCTGTTGCCAAATTTAACTGGGCAATTTAATTTTTTACAAGAGAACGTTTGTGCAGATTCCTTTGAAAATTTAAAGAATTTGCTTCATACTATGCAAAAATTCACTGAAATTTGCACAAAAATCCGCACACCCGTTCAGGGCCAGATTTACCTACTTGCCGCCCATGGGCCGCCTGTATTTTGCTGCCCCCTTCTCTTCGTTTTGAAACATCAATAAAAACCATCAAGTAAACGTGCCGGAGGGGGAAGGTTGCATAAGGCGCGTTTACTCGTGTTGGACACATTTTTTTAAGAAAGCCCTGTCAACACTATTAGCAAAAGTTCATGGAACTTTGCGCAAAAGTTAAGTTCCGTAAACCTATCTCTGTGTGGTCAAGGTCTTCCATTTATCAGAAATGAACGAAAACTTTATGAAAGAACAAACATAAATGTGGTTTAATGATTTGAACTTACACCACCGTGCCGCGCAGACCACACTGTGTTCGGCGCAATGCGTGAAGTATTCCTACAGTGTTGTAGGCGCTGTGCGTTTCACACCGACCGCTCTGCCGTGATAGCGAAGAGAGCCGTAAGTGCAAAATTTTCGAAATCGAGTATTCTTCAAAATTCGTCTAAACTCTTTTAGATGACATTACTGAGACAGCTTAAACAGCAAAATCCATCCCACTTTAATGAAAACGAGATGTATGAGAAAGCCGTAAGTGCACAAAAAATGACTTAGTTTTTTTCAAGACAGCCGCAGGTGCATGAGAGCCAATGAAAACAGTGCTTTCCGGTAAAGTGCCGCCCTCCTCTGCCAATTTCTAACCTGAAAATGTGTTTGTTGTGCGTCCAGAACGCAACCACGAAAGCATGCAGAAGATAGCACTTACGGCTGTCTTGCTTAACAATAACCTGGCATGAAAATGATAAATACCTTATTTATGTAATGGAAATAAAATCGGTCGATTTTTAATCATCCATACGATTTCTAGGAGTCTTCCGGACGATTAGTGGCAATTTGACAAAGAACGGAGGCTTCTTTCAATAAAATGTTCCGATCAGAAGCTTCTGAGCCCGTTTTCTCAGAACTTGATTTTTGCACTTACGGCTCTCTTCGCTATCACGGCAGCGCTGCTGAACGCAGTGTGTTTGACGCAATGCGTGAAGTATTCACGCAGGCTTGTAGGCGCTATGCGTTTCACGCTGACCGCAGTGACCGCACTGTATTTAATGCAATGCGTGGAGGATTCATGCAGTCTTGCAGGCGCTAATATGTGTTACATGCCGAACTTCGCGCCGCGCCGTGGGCTTCTCCTTTTCATCTCAAGTCCTCCTCATCATTTCCCTCTTTAAGCCGCGCCATTCCAGGCCAAATTGCCTGTTTGCTTTCTCTCTTAACTCGACTAATTAAAGGTGCTGTCTCTTGTATTACTCAATGACGACAAATTAGAAATTACTTTACTCCCAGGAAATGAGAGATTTTGTCGCATTTTCTCGTTTGTAATTTTTTTTTTCTGAATCCTATTTTTTTTATACTTACATTTAAAAACATCGCAAAATTTGCCACCATGGGCCGCGGCCCATGTGGCTACCCCCTAAATCCGGCCCTGCACCCGTTTTCATGAAAAAATTAAACTGTGTCCAATGAAATTCGGTATTAGCTTATGTTGCTTGGTTCCTTTCTGCTTGACACGGTCCAAGTAATGAGGAAAAGGCTAGTAGTCTAGATCATATTTTTACTGCCTTGCCAAGGTAGAGCACGGTATGTCCGGGGAAAAGAGAGGTTCAATGGGTCTCTTGGCAAGGTATACATTATAACACTTTGCTGCAGGTTTTTTCCTCAAATATTTCAATTTTATCGAACGTCGATTTTCCAGAAAATTGAACCCTCCCCGGAAAAGTACAGCGTTCCGGGAAAATGCAGATTTTTCCTTGCAAAACCAAATCGATCTAAAAAAAAAAAGGTCAATTTTTTACATCAGCGCTCACTAAAAATATTCTTCAGATCAGCTCCCTCCCCCTTGTCTGTTTACCTATGCATGTTCTTATTTTGATAATTTAATTATTAGACTGAAGTACCTACTTTATGCCCTTTTCCATGTTTCAGAAAACAATTTTGGATAGTATCCCCGGTTTTACAGGCAATGGATTCTGGAGTTTGGCGATCATCTATGGAGTGTTTGCCATTACAAACTGGGCAACCCCTTCAATCATCAGTCTCATCGGACCAAGAATGGCCATGGTTATCGGAGCTGTTACTTATGCGTAAGTTTATACCAGGCTAAAAATGATAGAGTTAAATAGATTAAACAATAAATTATTGATAGGTAAGCATTATCCCAATCGTTCTTATGACATTATGTCACAATGAGGTATAAAAAAGGAAATGGAATAATCAGAATATCTATCAAAGGCAGAAGCTTTGATAAAATGAAGAATGTAATGAGGTGAAAGTGAAATCCAATGCTGCGTTTCATTGAGAAAAATGGGATGTTGTTGGCTTGAAATTAAGAGCGAGATAGCTCTACTGTGGGTCAAGCAAGATAGAAAGATGCGAGAGAGACTCGCTTTCTAAGCTGTCAGTAATCAATAAACTGCACTCTCCCTCCCCCCTTTTTTAATCGTCAGTTAGTTATCCCTCGCTCTCAGCAAATCACTCGGATCAGATTAATTTTTGGGATTGATCTACAGCTTCAAAAGGATGTTGTTCTATGGGCATGCGATTTTGAGGAGAATGTTAGCCCCTATAAACTAGCTCTGACCATTACCATTTTTGATTTTCATCCTGAATCACCGTATTAATCATATAAATTATAAGAATCGTAAGATAGTTGCCGAGCTTCACGTAGCATTATCTAAAAAAGATTGAGCAAATAAACTGAATGTTCGTGTATCTTGAAATTCTTACCTTTAAAATTCCTTTGTTTTTTTCAGTACCTTTATTGCCTCTTTCTTCTTCCCAAGTGCATGGCTCTTGTACTTGGTCTCGGGGATTGTTGGGTTTGGAGCAGCGCTAATCTGGACCGGCCAAGGAAACTATCTGACCATAAACGCTGATGCCAGCACTTTAGCTAGAGATTCTGGTGTGTTCTGGGCACTCATGCAATCTAGGTTTGCCAATTTTTTATGAGTTTGAATAATTTTATTCTTGCCACTAAAATTAAATCCTTATGATAGTCTAAGAAAAACAAACTCTGGTCCTTGAAGACAAACTTTTCAAAAAAGCGAGTCGGACAAAATCAAGTTGAAAGAAAAAAAATTGAGCTTTCTGAGGAAAACTTTCTCCTACTCGAAGAATAAATTGCAAGGAAATGGGATTGTTTTTATATTCATAAAAAGCATTAGGGTGCTTTCTATTTGGATAGGTGATTTTGAACTCTAATCATGATCGTGTCGACATATAGAAGCTGCAAAATCGCACTTTTCCAGGAGTACATTTTTTGCACTTGATACTAATTGTAAAATGTCCTGTCAGATCTGATATTCGTCGATATTCTTGTGAAGATTTATTAATTTACTATTTATAAAAGCAGAAATATCAGGACCTCAATTTCAATTGTCTGACACTGATATTCTTGGTCGTGTGTGCTGTCAAAATTTATCTATTTTTACCGTTGTTGGTATTCAATATATTTATGATGGAAGCAGACTATGCACAGATTATGCACCTCTTATTATAGCAAGTCGTGTTGAATTACCAAGCTGCATCGCCTAATTGGCAAGAATTCACTGTTCAAACTGTTAATAACATTCACTGTTAATAACAATATAAATAATCACAATTGTGAAAAACAGAATATTCTCTATTTCCTAAAAAAAAAAAAATGAAAAAAACCAAACAAATTAATTACATATTTAAATTTATTTTAAATTTTTCCATCAGTTAGAAAAAAATGACTTTGCCCACTTTCATCCTTGTTGGATTTATGACAGTGTCTTGTTACCAACTCTAATACTTAATTGTTATTTGCTTTCTCTCAGTATGTTCCTAGGAAACACCTTTGTATACATTGCATTCCAAGGCAAAGAAAGTATTGACGAGGATACCAGAACATTTGTTTTGATTGTTCTAACGGCAGTGAGCATTGTTGGAATCGTCTTTTTCGCTTTTTTGCCACCACCAATTAGTGTTGATGGAGAACTTGCTAACAAGCGAGAAGCAGGACCTCTTGCGGCCTTTATTAACTCCATTTCTCTCCTATCAACGCAAGACATGCTGTTACTGTGTCTAACATTTTTCTACTCAGGTAGGTGCAAGTGGCATTTTATACTCGGATTTCTATTCATGTCCGATTTTTATCTGTTGATTTGATTTTTTAAATTTATTTTTGATGATCATTTGTTGGTTCCCTCCTGTAGGAGTCTTTGGAGAATGATTGATATGCCGCTTACTTTTTAATCAAGTAGAATTAAAAGTTTCTTCTTGTAATTTCTTGAGGCATTTTTCCACGTATTTAAGATGTCATGACATTGTGTCTTTAATGTCAATTGTGATTTTACATTATGTGAACGAAGTCTTTGATAATCAGATTCAAGTTTTGATCTGAGTAATTAATGAATTATCAAATTTAGTATTTTCAATTTGAGAGTAATCAGTGTACTTGTAACGAATTCAAAATGAATATCAAGTGAATGCTCTTTGTCAAAAGTATTGACTTTTTTACTTATGAATCAAAACTTTTTTTCCAGGTCTGGAGTTATCATTCTACAGTGGCGTCTATGGAACCTGTTTGGGAAAGATTAAACACTTTGGTGATGCAGCCAAACAACTTGTTGGAATGAATGGCATATTTGTTGGATTTGGTGAAGTTCTCGGTATGGAGGCATCTTTTCATCTTATTTGCATTCTTAAGTTTCTCATTGTTATTTTGGCTAAATGCCAAATTGCTGGGGGATGTTTTTATTTATTTTTTTTTATAGTTTTTATCGTATAGCTTATTGATACATTAAAGCTTCTATAGTAGTAAAATATCAACATAATCATAATGAATGTACAAGGATCGATTTTTGTCTCTTAATTTCAAATTGTTTTGTTTTTTTCTTTTTATTACATTGTTTATCGTTAAGAGATGGTAAAGATGAAAAAACGAATTTATCAACAACAACAAAAATAAGTAAATACAGTCAACAGAAACTAATAGTACAAATTGGAGGGGGGGGGGTGTGTTAATTCACAGTGTTTACTGGTCCAGAAAGTTCAGAAATTGCACTGATTTTTTGAGAGTTGTCTAGAAGTACTAAAAAAGTAGTACAGAAATTTCGCTATTAGGGGCAGAATTGTTTTCTGCATGGCATGTTCTTTAAAACAACCTGGAAAGAGTGTAATTTCTTGCTCATTGATCCTTTTAGTGCAGTATTTTCCTATCAGAGTGCGATTGTGCAGGCGGTTGATTCTCAGGCCATGAGCTCCAAATTTCAAGGCTATACGTCATTTTTCCCAGGTTTTTCAACCAGTCCTAGTAAATACCTTGTACATTGCTTGACATAAGCCAGAAGTAGTTGTCCATTCATGCGCACTCAAACAGATGTAAAAAGAGATTTCTAATCCCCTTCGTCCTGTCAGTTTCGAGGTGTACGCTTGTCTATTTAATTTTCTACTGTATGAACAGGTGGCCTGTTTTTTGGTATCATGGGAAAGAAGACCGCACGATGGGGTCGAGATGCAATTGTTATTGCAGGATTCATCATTCACATCCTGAGTTTCTTCCTCATATTTTTGAATGTTCCTAATGACGCCACCATCAGCAAGGATACCACCATTGAATCTTACATCACACCAAAGTAAGTAAACCGTTTGTCCCTGATAATATCAGTTCTTCTTATCTTTGTCTGACAGTCTGATCATGTGAAAGGTGACTGTGAACTGAAAAATGAACTGAAAACTAATTCTCTTTGCCTAATTCTCGTATACGAGGTCTGTTAGATTAGAAACCGGATTTTGGTCATAACTAGCCCACAATCTTTTTTTTTCTAAAAAAAGTCTTTGGTTTCTCTCTTCAAATATGTAAATTTAATTTCAATTCCATTTCTTCTAATTAAATTGATTAATTTGAAGTTTAATTTATCTCTTCTCTTGTTTATCTCTTTTCAGTAAATTCATAGCAATTCTTTGTAGTTTTCTCCTTGGATTTGGAGACAGTATATTCAGCACACAAATATACTCAATCCTGGGTAGCATGTACTCGGAGGACAGTGCACCGGCTTTCGCTGTTTTCAAATTCATGCAGGTAGGGTGTTAAAAGTTTTACATCACACGTATGTTTCTCACCAATTTTGAACTATTTTAATTTCTGGGAGGTAAATTCATAGCACTACGTTGTTTTTCTCCTGGTTTTGGAGACAGTATTTTGAGCACAGGCATGAAGGACTCAGTTCTTGATTACATGTAAGCAGAAGGCAGGGCACCTCTTGTGGTTTCCAAGTTTATGTAGGTATGTTGTTACTCATTAGTTTCCTTCTATGTTTATGGTTAATGGTAGTGCTAAAATAAGAAAATTGAGATAAAAGCAATATCAATTTTGAATATATGTAGATTGACAATTTGGTTGTCATTTATACTTAAATTCATGGAGGCTGCCTCCATATTGATAGATATTGCTATTTGAAGATGACACTGTCTCTGAATGAATTTTTAGTACCAATACAGATCAAAGTCTCAGTTTGATCACTTTATTTTAATTTTTAAACTTGTTTCGGCCCTAGTTTTCTCCTGAGTGGGTCAGTTGCATTATTAACAGAGTGTTTTTATGATTCAAACATGTAGATTTCCAAAAATAAATAAGATCCGTCTGAACGCCAAATCTCTACATCCAATATTAACGGGAATATTGCCCATCAAAAAACACAGTGTGTAACACCATCCACCACGTGCATACCGCCGTTTCATCTGTGTTGTACATCAACCAGTGTAAATTTGTATATCATAGATTGATGAAAACCAAGGTAGGAGAAATCACGGTTATGCCTTACCACTGTGGATGACATCATATGCTGTGTTTTTTTATCAGTGATATCTTAGTTAGTATTGAACCTAGAAACTTAGTAAACAAACAAAACTTATTATTTTGTGCTAATTTTTAAGCTCAAACCACTCAAACACGGTTCTGTTACTTGGGCGAGTGATTTATTGTGTGGACCCAGCTTAATCTTCGTATATTGTTTGGACAGCAATCAGGCCATTATCTCCATGTCTATTTCTCCTGTGAAAATAGTAATATCAGCATCATCTCTTCAGAATTATTTTCCTTCGAGCAGGCATTCATTCCATTTGTAAAGTAACATTATTAGCGGAATTTGGGTCATGCACTCATTTCTAGAAGCTGTGCGTTTTGATTTTTGTCTCAGCTCTTTCACTCTCTTCTGTTTTAGTCAATCGCTGCTGCCATCAGTTTCTTCTACTCGGACACATTCTACTTAACGGTCCAGCTGTCTTTGTTGGTGATTTTCGCAACAATAGGCACAGCCTCCTTCTGTATAGTAGAGTACACCGCCAAAAAGCGAGGCGATCCATCACCCTCTCACGTATCTCAGACCACCAGTCTGTCAGACAAGATCTCAACAGAAAGTTAAGAAAATTTGTGTATTTTTAAGAATATTTTTACCAAGTTCATCGTGCGCACAGAGAGAGGAAAAATTCCAGTTGCTGGAAGAATTATCTTGTGATTTCTCTGTTCCTTTTTCCATTTGCCTAAAATAAGATTCTGATCACCTGTTAAATGAGGCAATGGCTTCCATTAGTCTTCCAACCTAATAGATTGATTTCAAAATGGTATTTAGCACTATGTAACTACTTGATCAATAAGTTTTAAAACAAAAATTACCCAGAACCCTGCTCTGTTTAGGTTAGTAACCAGTGAAAAAATTAGAATCGACCTCTGGAATTCTAGTTTTATTTACCCAAAGCAATAAGAGAGTGGAGCACTAGTTAATTTCTTCCTCCATTATTTTTCATAAATTTGATCTAAGATTGTGTATTCCTTTGAACCGAAGTTATTTTACCATCTTCCAGCCTTTTTGAACTCAAGTCATTTTTCTCTTTTATTGTACTTCCCAAAGGAAATACGATATTGTTCTCAGTTTGTTTTTATATATGTTAGTATCTAGTTTTATCATTGTTGCTAGTTTTGTACAGTTACCTATATTTATGAATCGTAGAGTTTTTGTACGTACATGATTTTTTTATTTGCTCATACTTTTTTATGGATTTTTAACTCGTTAGCTCTGGACTGGTATTTTCTACCAGGAGGTGGGGAAAAATGTCTTCCAAGGGTTTCTATCTGTTACAGGGTTGCCACAGTGATGTAAAACCACGAGAACCGTGAACTGTCTGGAAAAATCGTCTAATCGCTTTTATTTATTTTCCCAGAATTTGTTTGACGTTTCAAACAACAATTTTATGGAGTGCTCAGGTTTGGAAGTCACAATTTTTAATCATCGCGCAAAGCGTGAAATGCCAAAATAATTTCACTGAAATTAGTCAGGGAAATCAGGAAAATGTCAGGGAATTTCATTTCTCAAAGTCTGTGGCAACCCTACGGTTATCGCAGTTTTATCGCAGCCGTAGCTGCCAAAGTATATATCTTAACCAGCATTTTTGCAAGCAACTCTGTTCATACCACTATGTTATCTCCCACTGAAAATTTCTGTTAATTTAATGTAACATATAATTTTTCTTTTTTAAAGTACCGTTTTCTTCCAATTACTCTTGTATTTGTAATTGCCTCGATAAAGTCATTAAATTTTTTGTATAATTTACCAGATAATTCATAAAAATTCAAAGCAGACTTCATCATATCTAAAAATATTTCGTGCAATAATTTATGTAAATTTTTCATACCAAAAATAGTTCCCTAATTTGTTTTTACTATCTAGGTTTAAGTTATTTTCCATCGCCTAGAATGTAGTATTTGCACTGACCTAACTTTCGGAAAAAAGAAAAGGCTGGTGACTTTTTCACCTTTAAAAGTTTTTTCAAGTGAGGAAAATGTAATGCAAGTTAAAATTTCCGAGAATATTTGTTTATTCTTGTGCCAAACGATGTACCTTTTCATCACTGATTAGTGATAGGATGATCAATTTTCCGAACTGCAACTCATATCTTGACACACAGTTGTGCAAAGAATTAGAATTGAACATAAATATTTTCAAGCATGAATAGTTAGTTCATTCTTGCTAACCGTAGGTAAAAAAATAAAATTTCCATAAATATTAGGTGATTTCTCACTGGTTATTCTTATGCACAAAAAATTCTTAAATTTTTCAAAACTGCAATCCAACTCCAAGAGCTCAGTTGTCCTCAAGTGAAATTCAAGTGATTGTTTGTAGTTTCATATTACTCTGAAGAAAAATGTATCGTAAACAGTTGTATATGTTCACAAAGGTTTTTTACCCATATTTACAATAAATTATTTTCAAAATCAAGATCATTTTTATTTTTGTACTCACAAAAACTGAACTGTTCCATTTAGCTCAATACATCCACCCATTAAATAATGTAGTTTTTTGTCCGAAAACTAACTGAAATAACCGAAGAATATATCCACCAGTAAGTGCCCCTATTTTATTTTTATAGATTTATAATAGAATAAACAGTTTTTTAGGGGGGAAAAAAAGAAATCTAGTTTTGTTTTGTCAATCAAACTCCACATGCAAAATTTAATAATTTTGAAGATTAGAAACTTTTTATAGCATAGCTTCTAACTGTGCAGAAGTAAAAATTTTACTAAGGTTTTGGACTAAATAAAATACAATTTGGTAGGATAGACTATAGGTACCTGTAGGTAGTTTGGTAGTATAGGGTATTTTAGTTTAGTATAGTGGGGGGGGGGGGGAGTTTCATGCAGACTCCAACGATTTAAGGGAGCCGGCAACCTTGCTCCGTTTCACTCTATGGTCAATGGTTCAGGAGATATTTGCAATTTTCTGTTGCAAAAATGGATCCATTTTAATGGCATTAAAAAAATTGAGTAGCTTAGAAGTTTCAAAAATTTAGAGTGAGGCCACAGGGTCCCTGATCCCAATAGGCTCATGGGAAATACAAAAGAAATTAAAGACTATAAGACTCTATGCTGGTATGGACATGTGCAAAGGATGTCGGAGGAGAGGTTGCCCAACCAAGTTTTGGATTGGGTACCATCTGGGAAGAGGCGACGGGGACGTCCCGTAAAGGGTTGGCGGCAGGGCGTTGACGAAGAGATGTTGCGGTGTCAGTTGCCCAATAACCTCTGGGAAGACAGGCATATGTGGCATTTGGGTGTCGTAGAACGCCAGAGTGCGTTATAAAGCGACTTTTATATATATATTAAAGACTATCAGGAAGGCTGGCAAATTTGCTCTATTTTGCTCTACAACCAACGGTTTAAGAGATAAAAAAAAGAGTATGACGAAAAGTTTGCTAAGTCGCAAACTGGGATATTGACGGTGAAACTGCAAAAACGCAAATGCAGCACTTGCAATTCCAGTGTAATACAGTGTTTCAAAATCTCTGCTCCTACTTCATCTTTTGAAGAGACCAAACCAACATTGTTTCACACAGCTTGTTTTCACTGAATGTTCTTCATGCTGAGAAGAAAAATCACTTGAGTTTCCTAGAAACGTACTTGAGTAATTTCTTCAGTAGAAAATAGAGAATGACAGAAATTCTAAAATTCGGCAACCTGAGGTATACATTTCTGCAGTTTCACTGTCAAAACATACGCAGTTTCTAGGTTTGAGCATTCACAATTCCTTTTTCCTCAGGGTTTTTATAATTAGTAGATGGTGCTTAGGATGGAGCCACATCATCTCAAATGAAGAATAGAAGAATTTAACAATAAATGATTACTTATGGGTAAACAATCATTTCAGAACAATGAGAGCGCAAGTAAGACGTAAAGAATTTCTAGTGAAGTTGGATATTGCAACAAAAAAAGAGGACTCTCAACGTATTTAACAGTAATTTTAATTATATCAACAGGTTGCTGGATAAAAACAAAAGATCTCTTGATGAGTAATTCACAAATTTACTTACAATGCGATGCACTTAAATAGGAAACAACATCATAATATTTACACAGTTCTAGAAGCTGGATGACACTAGTTTTTATACTTCAAGGTTAGACCTTTTATTTAGCCTAATGTACTGATGTGTGGAAGAGAACCAACATTACCAACAGCACCCAAAGCCAATTTTCCACTTCCGACTTTTTTAGCAGCCTGAAACAGAAAAAAAACAAATCAAAAGTCAAAATACAATTTATTGACGCTACTTGATAAAAATTGGTATACAAAAAATTTGGCCTCCGTGAACTGAGGTTCCTTTCTCATCAACTGTAACACAGCTATGGAGTCTTCAATAAGGTACAGAGACTGGTCCCTCTACAAGACATAAGAGTCAAGTTTTTAGTGCCTCAAATTTGTACGAAAATAAGAAGTTTGATCAAATTAAAGTCGAGGTATGTATAAAAAGAACCTCTCTGCAATGCAATGTTGCTAAGACTGTGCAACTTTACTTTAATATTGTGGTAACCTAATAATTGGTCAGAAGATTTCTTTGTTCCTCAATATTTTTCAAATGTGTGCTAATTTTTCATAAAATATATTCCCTACATGTGAATATTGAATTTGCTGAAAATATAAGTACAAAATTGCACGATCGTTGCTGAGACTGCACGACAGAGAAGTCTTTTGGGTAGAAAATTCGTCAACTACAAACAAAACTGAACAATGACCAAACAGTCTAATAATCTGTATGATAATAATCTAATAATCATCACCAAACACTTTTGTGTAACGGACAGTTATATTAGGCTTTGGGCAATGAGATTTCAGACTATATTCATAGCTGTCCTAAAACAGCTCATATTCTTAAAAGGACCCCAAGTGAATGACAATGAGGTCAAGGAGGGTTAAAAGGGGCCTTCAAATAGTGCCATAGGGAATTTTTAAAAACTTCGAATAAATTTTAACGAAATACATTTTTCAACAGATCCTTGCTAGCGATTCGAATGATTTGCCAAAGTAAAAACTGAAAAATAACAAAAGAAAACATTGTTTCAACAGATTTTAGGGTAGGTCTGTAGCTACTTTAAATGTTAAAAATATTGTGAATTTTTCTCCTTTGTATTTTTAACTTCCTGCAATTGCAAATCATTTGAATCCTTTGAAAGCATCCATTGACTAAGTTTTGTCGGTGGGTGGTACTTAAGTTTGTAAATTATTCGTTCCTCAGATGCTGTTTTGGAGGGACCCTTGAAAGAAAAGAGCTGCTTAAGGAATAGATATTAATACAGCTTTCATACTTTCAGCAAAGAGACAGAAAAAGATCTAATGCTACCTAATAGCTTCAATTGTATGGGCATTCATCGTAGAGTCTAGAAATAAGACTATAAACTCACATTTTGGACATCAGTTGGGGACAAAGCTGTGATAGCCTTGACAACGCTGCCAAGGTCCTGGACAGCACCAAGAGCTGTGACTTGTGAGCGAAGGTCTTCGCTGACAGCGGTCTTTGGTTCCGATTCTAGTAAAACAGCAGCCGCAAGCTGATTGATTCCTCGTTTTGCATCGTCAGCGCTCACATTGCCTGACTTCAACACTTTGACTGCTGCTTTAGCAACCTGGGAAAAATGAAAAACATTAAAAGCATAAATTCAGATTCCTTTTATTAAACTTAGCAAGGAACGCTAATTGAGTCAGAGAAACAATGTTCTCTATGATTAGATTATGGAACCTCTAATTTTGCAAAGACCCTTGAAAAGGCTGTTCTTGAGAGTGTTCTTTTCATCTCTTTTGGCTTATAATGACAAGACGGTGAAATGTTTTTGTGTTATTTGAGCCAAACATGTCCTTAAAAGAGATGAGCACTCCCTTTGCAAAACTACTGCAAAAAAATCCTTACTGTGAGCTAAGCATGTTATCTTCTTATTCACCTATGATTCCTGTGAATTTCTTCCGAATCCAATACAAAAATGAAGATGTAACTGAATCAGTAAGTATAAACCTACCTCAGCAGCTTGCTGTCCAGGGGTGACAAAAGCAACACCAAACAATCCAGCATCAGAGTAACTGATGTTAAAAGCAGAGATGCCAACAGGATGCTTGAAAGACTGGACTGCCTTTGAGAATGGGCTTACTCCAGTCCCGTATTTAATTTGAGGTCCAGCTCCGATAGCATATTTCAAAGCAGCAAAAGCGTAAGCTTCTTTGGAGTTCAAACTGAAAGAGAACAACAGAATATTCAGAAAGAGAAATAGACAAAGTAACACCGACAAAATGTGATATTAAATTAAAAAAAAAAAAAAAGTTAAAATCTTTAAACGTCTTTCAGGACTGGAAAAATTTTACATACTAGCGATCGCACGATCCCAGAGAGGTGCCCTACCTTCACCAATTTTAGGCATCTGCATTTTGACTTTACTATTTGAACACTGATCACAGATTTTTTTTTTTTTTTTTTTTTTTTTTTTTTTGGGGGGGGTGGCCTTATGATGCAGGTGACATGCATGTACAGTCCATCAGTTACAGCATTACCCTGAAAACTACCTCAAGTTTCCTAGTGCTTTTAAGAAATGGTAAAGTGTAATGGAAACAGGTTCCTCGGTTTCTAGAACCCATTTGAAATTTTAAAAAACTACCATCAATCCAAGTCCTAAAAATTTCATTTTCAAGTCACACTGAATGAATCACTAAATAACCTGAAGTGGAAGACATAACAGATTGCTGTGGCAAGATGGACATCATTGACCATGTTTGTTGCTTCTCTTTAAATATTGAACAAAGAAACTTAAGGTTTGGACGGATGTAATTATTTACCTGCAGTCTTAAAACATCGATACAATACAGTGAATGATTGATGTTACTGAAATTTAGGACTTACCCGATACCCTCGCTGACGATGGCAGCAAAGACAGTATTGGAGGGTGTGTAGTACTTTTCCTCTGCACTAAAGAATGTTGATTTCGGAGCTGACGGAGGAGGGCCACTGGTGATTGGCAGAGCATTTGCTATTTCAACCAGAGCATCGTGATTAACTCCAACTCCTGTTACGGAAGCTCGGTTAGCTGTGAAGTTGTTTTGGACATAGTGCTGGAGCTGAAAAAAGAATGAACAGGTTATTAATTTGAATCTTTTACTGCACTTGTGCTGAAAAAAATAATTGAATTCTTATAATGACCAAAATAACAGCTCCTCTCATTATTCTGTACACAACAAATGGCAAAGACACTGTTAGCTCGAGCTGAGCAATCTCGTAATTCCTCTTCAGAAAACTAAGTACTCACATTCTACAAACTTAACAGTGAAACTTGTTAAATTTTTTATTCCTTTAGCCTGTTAAAATCTAGGATACAGTGGTCATTACACACATCTTCAGCTTAGGTTAGGATTTTATATCAATTCTTCAACTACTCAAACAATAAAAAACAGTGAATAATTAAAATGAAATAGTTTTTGTAAAATTTCCGACCACATTTCAGAGGCATTGACAGCAATGACACAATCATTGACAATGTTTGTTCTTTACTTAACCTTCAAAAATTAAAAGAAGAAATCAATTTATGTTGACTCAATAAAAATTAAGTAAATTTAGGCAAACTGAGGAGATTGATGTGATTTTTTTTTTTTTTTTTTTTTTTTTTTTTTTTTTTTCGCTGCCACTATTAAATTGTGTCAAATTTTTAGAAAAATTGAATTAATTTTTATAAAGCAATCCTGACTCATCAAGGAAATTAAGTTGGATATGCAGTTGGTGCATTTTGACGAGTATTATTGATCAACTTCTTCCTTTCTTTTTCTTCTTGGCCTGATATATGAGCGGATCTTCATAAATCGGGCCAGGACGAGAAAGAAACAAGGAAGTTGTGATCTTGAGGAATAGTTTCTGTTCACACTCTGGTAAGATGCTGTGACCTGGCAATTCTTTTTTTTTTAAATTTAGTGCTATACCGTTTCAGAATCGAAGTGTCCAATAGCATTTGGGTCAGCATAGAGAGAGTTTCCTAATCCGTACTGGAAGGCTGCTTTGTGTGCCAAGTCCAAAGCTCTAGCCTGCGTCAAAACAAAAATAAGGCATTCATGATTATTTTGCGACAAGAATCTCTGCTGTGAGATAAGAATAGTTTAGTGGACATCAAAATTGACATCACAAAAACAATTTGGAAAGAAAAGTTTCCTATGAATCTAAGTTTAGTGATTATCAAGCTGCAGGAAAGAAAATTGCATTGCTAAAAATGTTTCACGCTCAATCTTTTAATGGTACATTTAATCCTTATTTTCAATCAAGAAGCTACTTTACAACAAAAAATAGCTTCCCTTTCTATAACGCCCACGGAGAGCATAATCTTACAAAAATTACATATCTATCTAAAACAACCACCTCTATCACTGATATTCAGTGGCGTAACGGGCGCCCCCGCAGACCCTGCTATGCAGGGGGGCCCAGGCGCCAAGGGGGCCCTCGGCCGCCGGAATTTTTTTTCTCTCTTTCTCTTTGATGCTTTGCTTTGGTTTCAAACTTTGGGCCTTTACTTACGGAGGTGGGGCTTCTTCCTCTGATTTTTATTGTTAGCTCAGGGTTTTTCATACTTCTTTCGGACTGTTCCAAACTTTTTGTTTGCTGGAGGGCCCCTGCCTTCCAATGTCCACTCAGTGATTACCTACTAAAATGTTTTTCTTTTTTTGTCACTTTTCGTATTTCGGGCTTTGGGAGATCAAATAATCTAAAGGGCCCCCAAGGCTCTTGGGGGCCTCTATAGATTCTTGGGCCTGGGCTGGGCTCCTGCCACCTTTTAGATCCTTGATTCTTTAGGGGTCCCGTATCGGGTACGGGATCTGGGACGGTGAGGGGTAAGGCATTCCGAGTCCAAGTCCGTGATTTGAAATGCCTCGGGCCAAAAAATGGGAAGGGGTGAGAGGGGGGGATAATTTTAGAATTTTATCGACATGGGGGGGGGGGCTAGAAAAAATTTTGCGGGGGGGCCCAGCGGAAGTCCGTTACGCCACTGCTGATATTATTGATATTACAGCAAAAAAAAAAGAAGTTGGTTAAGCAAGGATTTATTAATGTGCAAATGATCCTGCTAGGAATTGGCTTTTAATTTAATGAGAAAAGTTCGGAGCCTCAAAATTTAAAACATTTAACAAAAAAAATCGGATGCGAAAATGATATTATTTCATCAAACATGCAAACCACCTCATCTACTTAGATTCAGACTTTTCACTTTCTTCTGATTGGAGGAAAACTGAAACCGAAGGTGAAAAAAAATGTTACCTGTGGCGGGATGGTCAGGAGATCATAACGCAACCTATCATTGTTATCCGCAATTTCCCAGGGATTAAACGCTTGTTTGGTGGCGGCACTGAGCAGAAACTTGAAACCCTCCTCGCTGAAAAATAGAGGGAAAAATAATAAGACACTTGCACCAGTACAGAGTGAACAAGGAAAAAAAAGGCTGGGTGTAGGTATAACTATCAGCAACAAACTGATTCTTTGGATGTTAGACCTAAAATTAAAACTCAGGATATCATTAGAGAGAAATCTCTTACCCTCATAAATCAATAAAATAATTAACAGGAGTCCACACTGTTTTAATTACACTAATTGAGAGACATTTTTAGTAGGAAGCTAAATGTTACACTGAAATGTCCTCAGCATTAGATTTAGGTTGTGACTCCAATTTGAATTTTTTGTTTTTTCTGGCTTTGATTTCCTCTCTGAACAGTGCCGACCCAGTGCTATTCCATCATCCTGAAGGTGACTTCCATCAGACAAAGACAACTTTTACAAACTTAGAATGATTAATAAAAGCCCAACAGTAAGTACATAAAAATCTGAAATTTTAGATTGTGACATATGAAAGTGCATATACTAAGCACACCAACTTGTATCGAATTTTGAGGAGGCTCATTGTCCTTGGTGGCCCTACATGGCTTGGATAAAGCCATTAAATACTTGAAATTTTGAGTCAAACGAACCTGCAGGTTCTGAGACTATACAGTTTGTCTTCTGTATAATATGCTTATCGATCTCCTTCATTTTGTTTGAATGATCAACTATGTAAAATTCCACTTTTATGAGAAGGGCAGAAGTTCAAAGAAATGTGAGCCCTGGGGTCCTCCTTGTTACTTGAAAAGGAGAGCTCTTGGGGTTTTGAACTCGCAAATTTTTCGAAACGGGGAAATTAGATATTTTTCCCCTCTCAGTTCAGAACTTTAATTGGCTAGCAAAGGTATATAATTATTTATTAAATACAAGTAAGAAGAGGATGAATCTTACATTTTATCTTTGTTTCCTTGCAGAGTATAGGAAATGACTTCTCGATCAGTTGTGGCGTACAAGTTGAGGCCTAATTGTTGAATGTGTCTTGTTAAACCGAAGTTGGAAACTTCCTCAGAGGCAAGACCAAAAGCAGAACGTAGCACATGGTTGATCCCCAAAGATTCGCCATGCTCGTATCTGGCTCCAGCCCTGAAATAAAAATTTATTCAGAAACATTAAAGGCGATACATTCAACAAGATCATACGAAAAATAAGTTGTTGAAATGAACAAAGAGATCAATTCACTAAAAACCACTTGATCGGAATGGCAGGTGAAGGAGACTCGGTGAAATATTTGTGATTGTATAATATTTGGAAAAAAAGATGTGAAAAATTCATGAAATCTTAAGTCTTAAAAGAGCTTTAGGCTAAAAATTTAATATTGATAATGTCTTCCAGACTTTCTTCAAATTTCCTGTAATACACCCTAAAGGCAAACTTCCTCTGATGAAGATTCTTTGGAAGAGGTTTTAATCAAGGAGCTTTCAAAAAGAAATTTAAAATCCTAGAGTTACTTAACCTAGCACATTTAAGCAATAAAATAAGCTGAAGAAATCAATTTTTTTTTTTACCAAGGAATATCTTCACATGATTTTCATTTAAAATATCTCAATTGTTCAAAAAAATCATTTCACTCCTACACCTACGATACCTATCATTTATTTCTCAGCTACCTTTGAGGGCTGTGCTCGGATGTTTCATAAATTAAAGAAAAGAAAAGGAGGAAAGAGAAACATGAATGACTGATTTGGTTCCAAATTAAGCTCGTCTAATGACTCGGTTAGGTAAACTTGTTTTCAAGAATCATTGACTACAAATAAAACATTAAATGTGATGAATGGAATAGTCTTATTATGTTTCAGATCAGGAAACAATTTACTCACTTGAAAGAGATGGAAACTTCTGCAATTGGAGAATCTGGTGCGCTGGAGGCTACAAGAATCTTAGTGGGTGTGACAGAAGTTTTGCTGGAGACGGTGTTTTCAATATACTTAGGAGCAGCTTCAGCAGCAAAATTTCGCTTCTTAACATAGAAAAAAAACATCGATTGATAATTTCAGTGTGTGAGATAATTTATGATACACAAAAGAAAAAAACACTTCCTTGCAAAAATTCCAAGACTATTAGTCTTTTAATAACTATTGGAGCATGTTTATTCGAAATTGAGATAGAAGATGAACGAACGATGACCTAGAACTTGAATCAGTGAAGCCCAGTCAGCAATCTTCAAAATTCGATCAACTTGGGCAAATTAAGTTCAACAAACCAGATTTGACTCAGCTAACACTAATTAAATTAAATAGCGGACTTTGAGATTGTCGACAGAAGGTTTGGCTACCTAGACCGAGCCTCAGAAGGACAAAATTAACTGTGCATCGTAAATATCTTCTTCAGTGACTGTTCATTAACACTGATATGATTAAGGTGGTTGTCATTGCCCAGGCAAGATTTTCACTGGGAGCATCCAGCTGAGTTGATGGTGATCTGATAAGTTAGATTTTACGTTGGAAGATAATTTGGTGCAATCAGTATGATAATAAATTAGAGAATTACTGGAGCTGTATCAATTCGTCCCTTGGACCTGTTCTCAACTGATGCCTACCTCCACTGATCATAAATAAGTCAAACTGTTGGTGACACCTAAATTTATATTCAACATACATCATAAGTAACACTCCACTAACACATCATGTAGCTGAAAGCGTGATAGTTACATCTACAAGCTTGTCGGGTTGCGATTAACCGCAATCCCAAGACGAGACGATCTGTCACTGAGAAAGACCTCGACCGGGAAACGATGTCTGCGACAATTCTCATTGGAAACATTGATAAATTATGGGGTCAAAGAGGAGATTCTGGGATTTCAATAACTATTATGAGGGAAAAGAGTAGTTTTAAAAGAGTGTTTTTCTCCAAGGGCAGGTTCAGGTTATGTTATAGGTCATTCAGATTGTAAACGAAATAACGGCTAAGAATCGACAATGTAAAAGAGAAAGGGCTTAAACTCACCAGGATGTGTCGAAAAACGACGGGGGTGCTAATTTTTGGGGCCATTGCTGCACAAAATTCGATGAAATTAACGAAAAACAAGACTCGCTATCAGCTGACCCGCCTGCCAAATCCCAGGGAAATGGACGGAAATTCGTGGGTCATCAAACAACATTGTTTGAAGATTTGATGATTTTTCGACGACGCAACGTTGAGCGTAATGAGCGCGGGAAGCGAAACGCTTGTACGAACATACGATTTTACGAACCGCTTTGCATCTTCGAATTGGCTTCGCCCGCAGCTGAGTTTTTTGACACCTTCATGACCTCAATTCTGTTTTTACAATTCAACAAATACTGCTCCTTTTCGCCGTCATGGAATTTCTGAATGGACAAAGAAATTTCATTTGAATTTTAAAATTATTGTCTTTCGCCATCAACGTATGACACATACAAAATAAAAAATAGCGTGTAAGCGCGTGCTTCATGTGAGTAGGTATGCATATCAATCCCGCATCAACAATGTTTGATGCATTAAATTTGGCCACATGGACCGTGAAACATGGCGGCAAATTTTGCGATTTTTTTAAATGTGGGTGTCAAAAAAAAAAAAAAAATACCTAATAATATTTAAAGAAAAAATACAAACGAGTAAGGCGAAAAATCTTTCATTTCCTGAGAGTAAAAATACAGTATTTCCAATTTTGTCGTTTTAAGGTGAAACATGAGACAGCACCTGTAATTATTTGAGTTAAAAGAAAAACCAAACACGCAATTTGGTCTGGACTGGCGCAGCGCAGAGAGCAATGATGACAAGTACTTGAGATGAATAGGAGAAGCCCAGCGGTTGGCATGACACGCATTAGCGCCTGCAAGACTGCATGAATACTTCACACATTACGCCAAAAAAAAAAGCAGTCAGCGTGAAAGGCATAAATCGCCTGCAAGACTGTGGGAATACTTCGAACATTGCCCCTAACACAGTGCGGTCAGCGGTCGGCAGCGCCTGCATGACTTTCGGAATACTTCACGCATTGCGCAAAACACAGTGCGGTCGGCGCGGCGGCGAAAGCTAAACTTATTTCACATTTATACTTGTTCTGTCATAGTTTTTTGCTTATTTCTTACGAGTGGAAAGCCTTGTCCACACAGAGAAAGGTTTTATGGAACTTAACTTTCGCGCGAAGTTCCGTACCTAAACTTTTGCTGGTGTTGACAGGGCTTACACAAAAAAATTACCCAACACGAGTAAACTACCATTCAGAGAACAGATTTTTTTTTTTAAATATATTTTCTCTGGAAAAGCAAAAATTTGTTCTGCTACTACGGCTGGCCCGTCGCGGACCCGTTTTTTACGTGGAACCCGGCTCCACAAAAAATTCCCTGACCGTTGACGAAATTCCCTGATTTTTCGCTCGGTTGAGTTGCATTCCTTGACTTTCCCCGGTCACTGGGAACCCTGGTAGAAATAAAATCGTTTTATTGAACAACTTTAAGCAGTATGAATGAAACTGTATAGGTATCCCACTTCATAGGACTGTTTAGTAATTATTGTGACAATAAAGTTGTAACTAACTGTGGTACCTATTGCTCATTGCCTAACTGCTTGTTTCAAGGGGCCATCGAATCTTGGGGAAAAATTGCTCTATTCGGGACAAGATGACTGGAAAAATTGCAAGGTATTTTTAGCGCCCCTATCGTTTGGTTCTGCACGTTTGTTATTTTGAATTAGGCTATAAATTTAGGATTATTTTGAAATATTATTTAGTCAATTTTGCACACTAATTCCTCAAACATGACAGAGCAAGTTGACTGAGAGATTTTTAGAAAAATGTCTTGAAATTCAGAAAAAATCAGAAGAGTTAGGTGACACCCATCGGGTGCTGCAGATCCGCCCTAATACAAAACTGTCGGACTGAAAGCGTCAATTCACAGTGAATACTTTAGGGAAGGCAAAAGGAAGGCACTAGCAAAAAGGGATGAAAAAACACCTGATGACATTGATAACAGCTACGGTTTATTTAATTTGTTACAGGCGTTTGTACACATTCAAATACTGAATCTCTTTCTTTCCTCGCGGATGTATAAATACAGGTATTTATTCATACTTACAAGCTTAATGACAGCATGTAACTACCAACACAAAAACAAGTGCAGTTTCTGTCAACATATACAAAGATAAAGGCGTACAATCAGACTACATGCAGAGAAGTTTCCTGAACACAGTCATCTAGGCCTAAAATAATTATGAAGGGATAATGGATGAAAAATGCTTCACAGGATTATGGAATTTTAACTTTAAATTTCAATAAAAAATTTTGAAAAGATAGCGAACAATCGTGAAAAAACAAACAAAAAGGTTTCTACAGGTTGAAGCACTGCAAAATTCCTTCACCTTTGAAAGAACATAGGATGATATATGATCATTTTTGGTTCTGTTATGTTTGAAAGATAAGATAAGCTAAACTAAATGTGTGATGCAACACATAAATATCTGCTAAAACCGAAATTTTTCCTTCACTGTAGCCACCCTGTTAAATAGGATCGGCAATGTTTGTTTAGTGTATTTGGCAAAGTTCCTGACGAAATTCAAATTGGTGCCTGACATGAGAAAAAAGGCAAACATTTGAATCCAAAAACTGTGAGGCTGGAAAATAAGATCAAGAGATTTGTTTCTCATAAATCTACTGTCATCGCTGACCAGCAATGGAAAATGCTTAAGTCAAGGCCGTTCGATAATGATTGATCAATGTGTGGATCAAAATTTCCTAGAAGAGTAAAGTGCTAAGAACAAGCATTTTCTAGAACAACGTACCTAGTAGTTTAAAATGTTGGTGAATACTTTTAGGTGTAGGCTTGTGCGTTTCACTATCAAAGTTTCCTTCAAAAATAGATTTCAGGTGGGAACTTCCAGGAAAGTTTAATCTTGGACCTCCGATTCAACGTAACTTTGTACACTTTATCTTAGCTTGTTCACATACAAAATCATCAATGCAGCAGAGGCTTAGAATTGACTCATTTTTGCGCAAGTTGAAGAGAAGACTAGGCATTCTCTTACACAAACATTAGAACAGAGCTACCAGTTGCTGCGTTAAGTAATATGTGATGACAATGAGAATTAATTATGAGTGCTATGTACAAGTAAATAAAATAAATTAACTCTTTAAAAGTATCAGCTTAAATTATAAACTGAGAACATCTTTCTTGGTGATGTTTTGAAAGTGTTGACTTGTGGTCTTCACAGAGACTCACAAAAAAATCTTGATTTTAAGTTGAAAACGGAGATTGCAATCATCCTTAGAGACCATGGTGCTAAAAAGGCGCGCTCAAAAAGTTCCTTAACTGTCTTGCACTAATGCTGCTTATTTCTTCTTATACTACAAACTGAGGATGCTGACTCGGAAACATTAGATAAACATTGCATTCAGATATTTGACAAAACCAGAGCACAGAAGGAGTTAAGACTGAACTTAATTGACAAAAAATTTATGGAAAACATTAAGCTTCCACTCTCTTACAGATGAAAAGGAATAATAATAATTTTGGTACTAGTGACTGTATCATGATTTGTCTGTGTAGCCAGCGTATTGCTGATCTTAAAGTTGCCTCCAGACTATAATTATACAAGTAAGTAAGTGCCTGGAATGATTCTAGAAAAATTATTCCGTAAAAAAATACAAGAATACTATTCTTGATAAATTTGTGTCACTAGCAAGACTGCTACACCTTGGTTTTACTACAGATTTAAGATTTGTTTCTGAATATTTGTATTATCTTCTTTTATGAGACATAGATTATTGGTGCATTTTGTAACAAACAAGCCATTTTGGTTCCAGAATTTCTACATGATGTTTCTTTGCATATTTAAAAGTTATTCCTAAAATTTTCCAGGAAAAATAATACTTGTTTTTTCCTACCGAGAAAAAATTAGGGTAAAAAAAATGGGGAAGAGCAGAAATCTTAAAAAACTAAAATCAGAGAAGTCTTCTTATCATTTTACCATCATTACAAAACTTTAACTGAAATTAAAGAAATAAGCTTCAAAATTATTTATAGTGCTATGTTGTAAAAATGATCTTTTTCGAGAGAAAATTATTCTATGATTAAGAAAAATTTCAGTGACAACTGAGGTAATTATTAAAAACGGAGGTTTTCCAGAATCAACCACAGAACAAAAATCCCTTCTGCAGACAACCACAGGGAAAGTGAAAAATAATTTTCCTGTAAGTTGAAAAGCTAAGAGCTATTAGAAGCTATCATTTGCTTAAGATAAAACAATGAAAAACGAGAAATTAATTTTACAAAGTGGTGCTGCGTATGAAGAAAAAAACACGATGGCAAATATCAATTTAATAAATAAAATTTTTCTTAAAAACTGTAAGGCAAAGATTTGCCTGATCAAACGTTTCACCACCTACTCAGATTCCAAAAGAGATCAACATCCTACAATTAAGGTTCAAATTCTATGATTGAAACTGGATAGCACAACTAGTACATCACAATTTTAAGTAAATAAATAACAAAAGTTGATCAGCTGTGACATTTCAACAGATAGAAGAGAAAAAAAGACAAGAAAAAGCCTATTTAAGAAATAACTAATTACAAACAAAGAGAGAATCTTTCATCAGTCAGTCTCAACAAGCTGATATTAACTTACACAGTCATTGGCTTCGGCACTCATTAAGCAGTATTGAATCCGACATATTAAACTTTCTTCAAGGACTAATTTAATTCAATCCATTGTATTTCCTACGCGCTTTACCCGGTCAAATTTCTTTTGGTCACGCCTGAGTAGACTAAATGCATTTAATCGCTCAGTTCTAGAGAACGCAATTTCTCCCGTCAGTGTCAAAACCTCCGTTTCAAACGGTTTTTTTGGCTGCATGGGCAAATTTTTTTGCCTCAGTCAGACGAGTTTCCAGACTTAGCAGGTACTCAGATTAATTGAAGTCAGCATATAAAAGCTCGAACAGCCAACATCTGATGCTAAAAATTTGATTATGAGCGAAATTTTGAGGTCTTATAGACTCAACTTGCAACCATATTTGGGACGATCATAATGAAAATTAACTGTGTTGGGGAAAGATGAATTTTTCAAGAACAAAAGGAAAATTGGACAGAAGTCGTCAGGAAGGAACAATTCACATTTGAGAAAAAATTGAGTTCAGCGTTATGAGCTTTAATGACAATACATTTTCTCATGCAAAAATTGAATGAGAAAAGATGTCAAGTTTCCGAGGAGAATTTTTTTTTTCACTGATGTTGGGCAAAATGAAGCTTCTAACTCCTATCTAATTTTCCTCACAGCAACTTGATGTGGTATGGTTCCTCCCTAATAAACTAGCTCCAATATATGCCAGATAAATTTGATTTAAAAACTTAACCGGGCAAAAAGTCGTGACTTATTGAGCTTTGAATTAAATAAGAGCAGGAAAGTTTTACTTAAAAGCGCACTAATCCATACTATTTATAAATATTTACAGTCAAACAAAATAGAACATAAAAATATAAAGAACGTTTTCTTATTTCATGGTTGACAGAGTGCTTGAACACTGAGAACATGGCAGCAGATGAGTGTGCGAAAGGTCACATGTGTCATATATAATACATAGCATAAAAATACGAGGTGTTAAACATCGGTTTCAATGGAACCTTCATCTCGCCTAAATTTTATATTACAACAACTCATGTATTTATGTGAAGATGAATAAATAAAAAAATGAAAGTAAATAAGCATCCTATTAGTTAAAGCTACTAACAATAGAGTTATCACTGACCCGAGGGAATGGATCACCAATAAGAATAGAGGATTGTACAACAGAGTAGTAAATTGACCAACTGTTAGAGTGTTCAAGCACAGTCAACTCAAAATCTTAAAAATAACAAAATAAAAATTCATTACATAAAATCAAAAGAGCCCTTAAATAATTACAGAAATGAGTAACTTTTCCCATTTTATCTTGATTCTTTCTTACACGATTTGTAGATTACTGTACATGTGGTCTGAAATTATATTGCAATATTAAGAAGAAACGTGACATCACCACAATTACTATGAGAATGTTTAGGAATTAGTTGGTGTAACAGTATGATACATTTGTACACATTTTTCTTGCGGAGCAAGAGAGGTTTTAGCATAAAATTCAAAAAGGACTAAAAAAGGGACAGTTAATATATCACAGATATTTACAAGGAACTGATTTAAGTCAGTAAGAATGTTACACTGCCATCAGCATAAATCTTGCATTAGAGCCAAATACGTGAAGTTTTCTAGTGATTGTGACCATTAAAAGAAACAGACAAGAATAAAATTTCAATACTGATGAGAGGTACATACTAAGCCACCCCGTATTGGCTGCAAGACAGGGTTCAAGAATCAGAAAATAACTAAAAAAAATTTCCTAGGCATTAGGCTTAAAAATACGAGTTTACTAAGATTTACACGTATCAGTCAGAGTCAGTGATGTTCAGGCATATCCAGACTACCAATTCCTCAACACAAACTGGCGAGCTGCTTAGCTAACTATAAGCAAGCGCTTGCAGGAACAACACAGGAGAGGAGGACACTGGAAAGTCCACACAGGGCTTCGGTTTAGGGATTAAAAACAATGAGGGATGATAAAAGTGTCAAAAAACGACAAATATTTACTCGGTAAAACGCTCTTTTAAAAAAGAGAGGAGGGGAGGGGGGGATGAGAGGATAGTAACAAAGAAAAAATTATACGATGATCAATAAGCAACAAATATTTTTTACCAATTGCTGTGCCAGCTCGGGAAAAAAGGGAAAAACTGTTTGTTCCTTAACACGGCTACTCAGGGTTGATTAGCAAGAGAAAAAACCTTCTGATCGTAAAAATCATTTTATAAATTAGTCAGCTTCAGAATATTTATAGTCATGGAGAGAGGATAAATTACAAGACGAGAAATGAGATTCTTCCTCATGAGGAAAATAACAAGGAAAAATATAAAAACATGCATGAATGATGTATTGCAGCTAAGAAACACATTACTGTGAGAAGTCGCACCTGAATCATCTCACATTGACAAAGACTTGGCACCAAGTGTCTCACCAGTAATATTTAGTTATTCAGCTTACAAGCCAATGGTCACTGCTTTGCAACTAAAAATTATCATGTATTTTAAAGCAGTCTTTTGCTTTGATGTCTTAGAGGAAGGATCAGTTGAGACAGATTAACTTTCCTAACTTTTCAGAATACACCATTTTCTTAACACTCCTGCATTTCCTTGGAAACATTATAAAATAAAGATTGTCCTCAGAAAAGAGAGCCTTAGGGCTGAAGGATTGAAAATTTAGATATTACAAATATTTTGGCACAGAGCTGCCCATAATTGTCATTATAAACTGAAACTACTAATGACACACTGAAAAAAATGATCCAAAAATCGTATTTTCGAGAGTATGATTTAACATTTTTATAATAAACCCTCAATTGGGCTTTTAATTTTTGGATTGAAATGAAACTTTATGCCAGTTATTGCACAGAAATTAACTAAGCCTCTCATAGTAGATAATTATTCAAGAGAGAGCTTTTTTGGTGAAAGTTCAAAAGCTGATTCTTCAACTTAATTTGACAACAGTTGCTCTCTTGAGAAAGTCACCTATATGAACTAAGGTCTCTCTCTGAGAACAGTCACAAGTTAAGAGGAATCTACAGACTTCGTTATTGTGTTTTTGTTTTCATGAAATGATTCATAGTTTCAAAACTTTAAGACATTCATAAAAAAAGAAAGAAATGAGAAGAAAACTACAAAAAAACAAACAAACTCAGTTTCAAATCATTCTGCAATAAATTCTAAGCAATGAAAAAAAAAAATAAATAAATAAAACTTAACAATGCTGAGAAAATTGAAAATTAATGATACAGCAATTAAACAACATTTATTAAAGGAGTATTTATGAAGTTGATATTGACAATGTTAAGGTCAAACCTTGTGTGATAATGTCTATTTAATGCAAAATGATTTGAGATTAAGCAAGTCGTGTTAAATTTCTTACAAATTGTTTTTTCAATTTTGAAATAATACAATACATCAAGGTGGTAAACTGGAGTCTGTAGAACCCTGTGTAAAACCCTAAAAAATTTGACAAATTATTTGACACTTCTGTCATATTCAGTCTGAATCATAAAATCATGCACCAGAAGTGATGAACAAAAAATTAGTAAATTTTCAGACACCTTACTTCAAACATTATACAAAACTAGAATGGGAAAATAGGGAAAATTGTACAAGTCAATGTACATTTTATACAAATTGTAAACACAACAGGCAAGTTTCAGCCTCTTAAAAAATAATTATCGATTTTCATTTTCAATAATCAACTATTTTTCAGAAGTCTTAAAAGTCATGAGCCACCAAACTCCTTGTGGCCGCACTCAAAAAAGCTATCAAAAATTCTTCCTAAGGTCGGACCTGTCAACTTTTCAATGAAGACAGGGATAAAGAGTCAAGAATTCCTTCTGTTATCCAAAAAAAAGCATTCAGTTACAGAATCGATTCTTCTACTGACTAAAACAGTATGAATTCTGACAATATGAAACGGAGACATTTGCCTGCGTTTAAGGAAAATAAAAATCTTCCTTCAAGTTGAGGGCTTAAAAATATTAGGTTAGTCAATTGTCTCAGTTCTGGATTGTTGTGATCTAGTAAGTAGCAAGTACTGTATTTGTTGGGACAGGTACAACTAGAGCAATAGGGGATGGAGTGGGTGGGGGTGGGGGAGGCGCATGGTGCATGGAAACCGGAGGGGATTGAACAACAGAAGATTGCTGCGAGTGATGTGACGCTGGAATTGAGGACGACATGGAGACCATAGGTATCGAGAGAGGTTGTGCTCCTGAGGATGGTCCTTCCTGCTGCTGCGACTGTGATGCCTGCATGCTGGCGACGGATGTGACGACAGAGGAAGATGGCGCAACGAAGATGATGTCACCAGGACTGTGATGCTTGTGGATGTGCTTAAGAAGATTGCCTTTGTCGACAAAAGTCTTACTACACTGATGGCATGCATGCGGCCGTTCTGTGTTGTGGACACGTTGATGCGACACCAAGTGGCCTTTGCACGCAAAATCTTTGGGGCAGAATTCGCACTTAAACGGCCGTGCAAGGGGTAAGCCCTTCTGGTGAGATCTCTGGTGGAACAACAAATTGCCTTTCAGTGGGAATGTCTTTCCACACTCGTCGCAAGCATAGGGACGCTCACCAGTGTGTGTGCGCATATGATGGATCAAGTGCTCCTTTCGTGTGAACGGTTTTGAGCAAATGTGACAATTATGCTCTGTCTCACCGGAATGTTGACGTACATGTTTCACTAGGTGCTCTTTGCGCGTGAATGATTTCTGACAGAAATCACATCGATGAGGAGACTCTCCTGTGTGCACTCGGATGTGATTTGTTAGGTGCTCTTTGCGCGTGAAAGTCTTTGAGCAGTATGTGCAACGAAAGGGCGACTCTCCAGTATGCTGCCTAATGTGAATGGTTAAGTGCTCTTTGCGTGTGAAGGTCTTTCCACAATACTGGCACTTATGCGGGGACTCTCCTGTGTGCTGCCTGACGTGGTAGACAAGATGGTCTTTTCGTGTGAACGCTTTCGGACAGTGTGGGCAATGAAAGGGCGTTTCACCTGTGTGTTGGCGAATGTGGTTAACCAAGTGTTCTTTGCGAGTGAATGACTTGGGACAAAAAGTGCAACGGTGAGGAGATTCACCCGTGTGTTGTCGTACATGATTCAAAAGGTGTTCTTTTCGAGTGAAAGTTTTCGAGCAGAAGTCACACCGATGAGGAGTTTCGCCAGTGTGCCACATGATGTGATTGGTGAAGTGTTCCTTCCTCGTGAAAGACTTCCCGCAAATTTCACAACGGAAGGGAGTATCGTTTGTGTGCGATCTAATGTGATTGTTCAAATGTTCTTTGCGTGTGAACTTTTTGTTGCATAGGTGACAGATGTGAGGAGTTTCACCCGTATGCCACATAACGTGATTCATATAATGTTCTTTACGAGTAAAAGTTTTCTTGCAGATGTCACAGCGGTGGGGAGTTTCGCCAGTGTGCTTACTACGAACATGGTTTACCATGTGTTCTTTGCGAGTGAAGTTTTTCCCACAGTACTGACATCTATAGGGGGTTTCACCAGTGTGACATCTAGTGTGGTTGTCCAAGTGTTCTTTCCGCGCAAAGCTCTTGCCGCAAATTGAACAGTAATAGGGCTTGTCAGTTGTATGCCTTTTGACATGCCTCTCTAAACTTTGATCATTGGCAAAAACTTGAAAACACATTGTGCAGGTGAACATGCCGCTGCCAACATGAATTTTACCATGCTCAAGAAGTTCAGCACTCAGCTCAAAGGCTTTCCCACATACCTGTACACAACAGAATAAAACTAAATAAATTAAATCATAAAACTAAATAACTAGATAGAAGATATTATCCAGAAGAAATCTTATTGTCATATCCTAGAGATAGAGAGGCAAAATTATTCTTAAAACTTAAACTATGATTCATTTTTCCTGTAGTATTTTTGATTCACACATTTGATCTTGGAACTGTTGTAATCTCTCTGATAGTACAAAATATATTCTGTTTTAGTTGTCAGAGGCCACCATTATATTTTGTTTTATGTTTTATAAATATTTGAAATATCAGAATCTAGATTGCAGCTTGCACAAAACACTGCTGTTATAACTGTAAAAATTAATGGCAATTTAAGCAGTAAACTTTGTTGTTTGCCTAAGGCACGGGACCAAGACTGCTCTACTGGTAATTTTGTACTCTACCCTGATGAAAACGTGACGAAGTCTTACCTGGCAGGAAAATGGTTTTCTTTCTGTGTGATACCGCCTGTGAACTATCATCTGGTACCTATACGGAAAAACCTTGCCGCAAATATCACAGGGATGACTGCCAGCAACCAAAGGAGGAGCCGGCGATGGGGAGGGCGTTACAGATGAAATGGAATTGTCATCACCTATGTTTGTTGAAGAGCCTGAAAATGGCAAAGAGAAAACAAAACATTGAATGAAAAGAAGTCTAAAAGTTATCTAACTTGTTTAAGTGTTTTTTTTTTTTTTTTTTTTTTTTTTTTTTTTTTTTTTTTTGTTTATTTCACTTGCATATTTGTCTGCATGAACACCGCTAGAAAAGGTACAAAAGTAGGTATCAAATTAGGAAGCCCCTGCTTCCTATTTTGGCAGCTTTTCAAAAGCAAGGACTACTAAATAGTTTAAATTGGTTGAAAAAAAAATAAAAAATTCTTATCAGAACTCCAAGATTTATAAAATAAATGTTGAGGTCTTTCAAAATGTCTAAAAAATACAGATGTCCTTTGTCTCCTCTTTCATTCTCTGCTACATATGATAAAAAGGCAAATGTCAGGCTTCAAAGAATAGCTCAGGGTTTTTACTTTACTTCAATTTTCAAATTCCCTATGTTTTCCCTGCAAGTTTGCAGAAAATGACTCTCTACTAAAATGCAATCATTGCAGAGGTGTAACTTTACCACTCTGCTTAGACTATGATTGCTGACAAAGTGAAAAAGCAACCTTTGGCTTGTGAAACACTTGTCTAACTCTTCACTACCACATAATGCTGTTCTACACAATATTTTTTAAAACTAAGCTAACTGACACTTTTGTAGCAAGTGGTTGAAGTATTTCTGAACAAACAATAAAAAAAAAATTTAAAAATTTAAAAAAAAAAAAAAAAAAAAAAAAACAATATGGGGCTTACCCACTATTGCTGCGATTGATACATGATCCAAAAGCATACTTCACAGCCAATTCAAGAAAATTTTTGGCGGTTTCATGTAATCAGATGAATGGTAATTCTTTGACATCAAAACAACTGCCATAAAAAATTGCTGATCCAGTTCTTTATCTGAGAAATCAGGGTGTACTTTCGGCTGTGGATAGCACTTTAAAATTAAACGAAGAAAACAGACAGATTTCTGCTTTACACTCTTTTGACAAGTACCAGTAACTCTTTCCACTGAACTCTTTTGACTAAAACTCTTTTTCTTTTAAATTCCGGAGTTGACGCCAAATTCCCTGGATTTTCCTTTTATGTTCCCACCAACTAGGATTCCCTGGTGGAAGAAACCCTAATGCCTGTATTACACAATAATTAAATCGTACTCCTTACCAACGAGAGATTCACACTCCGATTTTGGGATGGTTACACTGCCAGCTGAGTGGCTGGCATGGTGCAACAAAGCTGCTGCGTTTTGTGGCACGGCTTGCACCTCGCCTGGTTGAAGTTTACCAAACACTTCATGATATGCCAACAGCTGGTTAATGTCCTCGACGTTCACCTACAAGAAAAAAAGGAAAAATACATTACTCGATGAAACTGTACTGTTTTGGGCTAAAATACAGCGAAGCAGGGCTTTGATCCTTCTTTATACCCTTGATTCTCATCTTTAGGTAGTACTTTCATGTCGTTTGTGGCGAATTATACAAGAAAGGACTTCAGTGCATGACAGCACATTTTTAAAGAGTGGAAAATTTGTCAAATCGGATCCAAGTATTAGAAATAGAGTTTCAAGGAAACACTGTCTCAATGTCCCATAGAATAATATGCAGACTGTCGACTTGATAATAGAGGGCGAAAATTTACACGAATTCAGTGCTAAAACTTACAAACGCTTGCTTGGAAAATTACTGCTCCTTAACAACTTTGAACCATCATAAGGCCTGACTGGTTAGACATTAATTGGCTTTTTTTTATTATTATTTGCCATGAGAGCTTCTGCCTTGAAGAGCATTGTGCAAAAAATAAAAAAATTCAACAAAAAATTGTTCAGCTGACTTGAATTTGTTGGGACGATTACAAATGGTTCGGACCCTTTACCTATGACCGAGGAATATTAAAGGCCAGAACGATTTACCAATAGCTAATGTGATCATTTTCTTCTGCCACTATACTGCTTGAAAATTTTTTTGTGATGCTACTGTTCATGGCTCATGTCACAGAGATACTCTTTAAAATCCATCCTTTATCCAAATAAATATCATTATAAATTGCATTCTTTTAATTTAACACATCAAAATTCTTAAGAATTATCTTTAGAAAGCAAACTGAGGGGAAACAATTATCACCAACTTACTTTATACATATTTTGCACCATTTCAACACCCAGACTTTTCGATAGATCCTGTTCACCATTAGCGGCAATCTTGAAGATAGATCCATCTAGAGCTCGGAAGTCCATCATGTGAGGAGGGCCTTTGCCATCTTGAATTTGAAAACTAAAACAAGACACCATTCCATAAAGGTTAAACATTATCTCTGGTCAGCCTCAGTGATGCAGTGGTCAAGACAGTTTGCTGCCAACACTAAGGTTCAGTACGGGTTCAATCGACCCAGATGGTAGATATTTGAGTGTCCTGAAATATCAGTAATCTTGACCGTGGATGTGATCGTGATCGTCGGACACTCCAACACCCTGTGATCCTTCGAGGTAACAGGGTCCAGGAGGGACATAGCAACCCAGTAAGTAATCCTTCTGCATTGTTCAACTGGGTTGTGAAAAAATCAGTGATCACCTGTAGTGTGCGCAACTGCCGGCATTACCTATCAGTTAAGATTGAAACAACACAGTCCAACTCGGTGGACCCGCCAGCCTTGGATCGTTTGAGGTAAAAACAACAATCAACAGCTGTGCTGAAGTTCTTAGATTTTTTTTTTTTTTGTCAAGAGAAATTATTTATTCGATAGATAACAAGAGAAGTACTTGGATTGAGGAGTCCATATTTTTTATCGCAGAGACTGTAACAGTAACATTCAGTATGCAATTAAACTCTGCTAGATAACGGATTTTTATAATCGAGTAGCTGGAATTGATGATCTTGGTTATGAGTTACCTTCAATAATTAATGTTGCTAATCAATGTTCTACATAAAACTTTGATCAAAAAAACAGATCATAAATTTGCACCTTGTCTAGTGATCCATTGTGTAGGACTGAAACAAAAACCTCTAAAGACTGTGTCACAAACCTTGCATGCGGCATACTGATGATCGGTCGCACATCCTTCATACTGGCTTCATTCTGAGGAGATGTACTATTTTTGACTTCTGACGAAGAATGCGACCTGCTTGGTTGACTTTGCTGTGAGGAGGGGGGCGGTGGGGGAGGAGGAGGCTGAGACTGCTGCTGTTGTTGTTGCTGCTGCTGTTGTTGTTGCTGCTGCTGTTGTTGTTGCTGTTGTTGTTGTTGTTGTTGTTGTTGTTGCTGCTGCTGTTGTTGTTGTTGCTGAGATGACTGATCATTTCCAGAGGGCGGCTGTTGCTGTTCTGCCAAAACCTGATGCTGAGCAACCTGAGAAAACAAAAAGATTGAGAATCAATGCCTACTGAAACTGCCCGTAAAATTCATGGCAGGAGATTTAAATGATGTTAGAGCGGACTCATTGTATGTTGAGACAAAAGTCAAGTATAGTTTAGGTCACCGCTCATCAGTGGTGCAATCTGACTGCATGTATTGACCTGTTGAGTGGTGCTGATTCGGAGGTAATCAGAGATTGACATTCGTCTCAACATACGATGAGTCTGCTCTAAAGAAGAGAGGGTTCTACGAAATTTTAAGAGTCTAGAGCTGTCACACTAGGTAAAGACACTGAATGTGGCATCTGCAAGTTGCAAAAACGGTGCGACCACATATAAGTCTATATGTTGACATCCTATAAACTAACTGTTGACGTCCTATGTTTACATAAATTCCTCAGTTTGGGGCATTTTCACAAAGATTGAAAGCAGTTGACTTCTCATGAGAGGCCTGACAGGAGCTCAAAACTGGGGACCATTCCTTCTTCTCACACCTTTTTTCTTGATTATTCTTGGTTAATCTCAGTAGGGGGCTTGAAAGCTCCACAGAGAGTTGGCCTGAGAAAACAAGCAAAATGGATTTAGAAATTTCAGAGGCTACTGGTAGGATTTTAGAGATACATCTAGCCTGAAATTCAGGGCTTCTTCCAAATATTAAGATAATATTAAGAGCGATTTCATCAAAAGTGAATTTCTAAAAACAAACGAGAGCTTGTTCTATCTTGGCAGGAAGAGTAACAATTAGCGTTTTTCTTTTTTTTCTTTTTTTCAGAGATGGAAATGGTTCATGCTTAATTACAATACATGAAAAGAAAGAATTCAACGTGCTGGAAAAAATCAGCAGAATATATGCATTTGGTGTTAAAATGTCCATACCTGCTGCACTAATTGGTGATGCTGTTGAGGAGTAAGGCCGCTGATGAGCTGATGCTCGTGGGCACCATCCATTTGTGGGATTTCATGGACCGTCGGCTGCACAAATTAAGACAAATCATTTCATTAGTCAATAAGAAAAAGGAAGCCAAATTGTTTTATTTGTCAACAAGAGAGAAAAAAGCAACTTTACCATACTTAAATTTGAATCATAAGATACTCTAGGTACATAGATTCTTTGCCTTGGAATCATTTGCTTAAACATTTCTAGTGTGGCAGACCATTTCAGCACATTTGTTTTAGTAGAAAAAGGTATAAAAGTATGATATTATGCCCAGTAATTTTTGTAAAAATTGCAAAAATCTGCATGATTTTTCTTATTGATAGTACAGATATCATGCCTTATAACTGATGATTATAGAGCATTACTCTGCATACTACTAGTAACAACATACACTAAAGCAGCTTAATGCACCCCTGCTAAGAGTGGAACATAACTAATTTGACAGTTGGTTAATTCGAATTCAACAAATACTACGTGAGCCTCAGACAGCCAATGCAGAGCTTGAAAAGCAAATTGAACCAAATAATGAAAGTTATAAGGCTTACAGGAATATAACTTAAAAATTGTTTCGGACTTTTCAGTATCTTTTCTTGAAGTTGACCTTGAGGAAAGGAGACTAACGGCTGATTGTCCTTCAGATTTTTGACTGAAATTCATTTAGTGGGTGCAAAGGAAAATACAGACATTAAGGAGAAAATATATAAATTATTTCCTACTTAGAAGGGGGGGGGGGATCTTAAATACTTCAGTATGCATTGTTGGTTTTGATCCGAAAGGCTTAAAATATCTTGGCCGAGCTCCTTACCTGGCAATGAACTGAATTTTCAATCTGCTGAGATGAATTTGAACCCGATTTACTTAAGACTTTTATGCCTTTCATACTCTGGGTAGTTGTTGTGTGACTATCACTGGTCCCCGAGTCTCCACTTGCTGTTATGGTTGTGCTCGAAAGGGCTAGAGGGGCCAGGTTTCCTGACATCGGAATCTGAGAATAAAAAAAATAACTTTTAAGTGAGACAGTTGAAAATTATGAAGAAATGAAAAAAGTGTACTGCCACAAAATGGGAAAAATATACAGAAGTTTTCAGTCTTAAGTAGTTTGCGCTTTCATTAAAAAATTTTTAACCTCTTGATTTATTTGATTCTTATTAATATTGCATGTGCTCTCTTGAAGTTTGATACCTTAACTCCAACACCACCGAAATACACCAAAATACACCGTTTGTTGTTAATATGTACCAAATACATATCTCTTACCCCCGCAAATTCTGCCTGTCTAAAAATGTTTTGTGATCCTTTTCACCAAGTGATCGTCATATTATAGAATTATCAAGTTATTTGTGAAAATTTTTCACACCCTTCTCAAAAAGAGAGCTGCTGCAGAAAATGTGGTACAACTATAAAAATGATTTTGGGTATTAAAAATGTGGAGGTAGTGATGGTTAATTATCTGTATTGAGTGTATTTAGCCTGCGTCACTGGCAATGATCAGTGACAAAGCTCATTATCGAGCAAAATGTGAAATGAAGGAAACAAAAAAAATTTAAGGGAAGCCAAGAGCTCTTTGATACTTGCACATGTGAGGATATGGAGCAAATTTTTAAAAGGCTACAACGTCAATTTATTCACTTAAACTGATGAAGTAAGAGGCGGAGACTAGCGCTGAAAATAGTTATTTGGAAATAAATGATAGCCTTCAACGATTCTCTTTAGAGAAACTGAAAATGTATGAACAATTCTACAACTATCAATGAGTTATACTCTCTCAAAAAAGTCACCAACTTGTTGCTACACATAACTGCTTCGTTCATACCTCTATATTGTGGAAAACTACGATAAAAAAGAAAAATGATCATATGAATACCTGTGCCATGGGATTGGGGAAAAGATTCGTTAAGACCCAATATTTAGCGACATTTGACACAACATTAGAGGCATGTGCCTCTCGATTGTTGACATCGCCTCTTTCCGAATGAGAGGCAGTGCTCATTGGAGCAGGATGATGCTGCTCTTGATTATTCATCTTCGGTCCGTTTTACTCACGTACCTGAAAATGTTAAACACAAGAAATTTTAGAAAACATCTTGACAAAAAAAAAGTCAGAATATCAGAGCATTTAAAATAAGTAATTGTTCCTGTTTTTACCGATCCAACACACCTCTCTAGCTCCTCCTTTTCCTGCTTGTTTAGGACAGAGCTTAGACAAGTTCATACTCTCAGGAAACCTTTACAGGTTGTAGTGGTTAGCGCTCTGTAATTTAACAAGCTTATGGATCCCTGAGAAAGACGGGACAAAAGGCACTTGATCGTTTCCCTGAGTTGTAAGATATATCTAAGGTTTGATACATCACATCATTGGTGACCTAAAATTTTCAGACCTACCGATTCAAATCCTGCAAAATAACTGTCCCACAGCCGTGCTTCCGACTTAGCCTCTTGGTAGAGTTAATTGCACTTAAGCGGTAAACAACCAGTACTACCTTTCCAGATGAATGAAAGCAGTAATCTCAACTATAAATTCAGACAACTCAACACTGATAAATGGAGCACACAAAACATCCGGCCGATAAGGAACTGAGTGTTCAGTTAAATCATGAGTAGTTTGGCTATAGTACCGCTTGTCAGGAGTGGTATGGAATTGCACTGAAATAATAGAGGAGAGCTTGAGGCGTCCGTGGCAAAGAAGTGTTGGCCCATAAATTAGTTATATACTTCGATGGGCATATACCCTACAAAGCCATCAATTAAAACAGCTTTGAGAGGGAACATGCTGAAGATGAAATGGTGAGGATAAATGAATGTACGGGTAGAAGACAGTGGTGACACTTTGAATTTGGATAACACAGTGATATGAGCGCTTTCTTGTGGATCACAGAGCGAGAATAGTTAAGATTTCTTTTAAAGATATGCGAGCTAATAAGTGCGGCACGACGGTGTGACTGTGATTTCGAGTTTGGAGTGGAGGGGTTTCAGGGAAAAACTATTGTCTTGCTACCTGAGGGCCTTCTAGGTTAAGTAAATCACTAGTGCATCGGAGCGAATGTGACGCCTTGAAAATCAAAATTAGCGGCTGTGGGGCAAAGTGAAATGCGTACCAATTAATGGAGACATGAATGCGGGGCTTATCCAGCGGTATTTTCACGAAATAAGCCCGGACAAGTTCGGAGGACGTCTTCAGACCATCATGGCGCCCCGCCAAACAGAACCGAAGTATCGCAGAAGAAATAAATCACAAACTGCGACCGAATCACGACATGATGAATATGAGATGAACTTCAAACAAAATATCGTGAAAACTTAAAATTTGAAAGGAACATTAATGAACGTTTTAGAGAAACATAAAAGCCGACAAGGCTGAAGTTAAAAATAAACACACACAAAGAACTTACCACCAGCGGCCATTTTGAAATTAATTTGATTAGCCAATGAGATTGCTTCTTGATGCCGCCAATGCTGCCAAATCACATGTCAACAAGCCGTGACTGTAGGAGGGCTTCGAGTGGAGGGGAGTGAGGGGTAATATTGAAAACTTCACTAATTTGCGGAAAAATTTAAAATTCATGAATTTCACGGTTCTGCAGACAGCATCGAATATTTCTTGAATAAGAGCGCGCCTTCCTTCATTTTCGGGGGCGGCAGAACTCTTCATTCGGCAAGTGATACTGATTGTGAGTTGCAACGTGATCTGGCATTGAAAAATCACTTCACCTCCCCTCCTTTCCAGTAACACCCACACCCCCCTCCTGTTGACCCCAAGAGCCATGAACAAAAAAATTTGGGCGCGCAGCGGTTCTTTCTCTGTCTCTGGGCAGTCAGCTCGTCAAAGTAATAAGGAGAGGAAAAATCGGGATATGCCGCGTAAAAGTCTACTCCACTGGTGAATGAGACAAGATAATGTAAAAGGAAAATTTTCATTAGTTCATTCTCAGTCTGAGGGTTTCAAGAATGAAACATTCCGATGCTTTGCTTGTGTCCTTCGGTTTTCTTACCCTTCTTTATGATAATCCACATTCCACATCCACCTGGGGATAAAATACGAGTAGAAAAGAGTACTCAGGTGCACTAATTTCAGTGAGCGGTACTATGAGGAGGGTTTGACTTTGATCAACTTCGAAAAATGAATTGGAGTTGGTTGATATGAATGCAAAACTAAAATACCGATTTATGCCCTTTGTTGGGGGCCTAGATTACAAGGTGACCCTTGAATGCACTTTCAGTTGAAGGGTGAAGTACCTGTAATGAAAGGAATGCCTTGAAATAATCGAAAGGGCGATTTTGGTCCAATCTGGCACAACCTACTTCAAAAGTTACAGTAGAACCTGACAAATGAACTTCTGAATCCTATTTTTTGGCAAAAATGAGATTTTTATGAACTCCTACATTGGCTTTAGAAATCACAACCATTGCACTTGCAGTTTGTGTGGTCTCAGACAGATCATGTGAGAAGACTGTGGTACAAACATTTATCGTTTGGCAATAAAATAGAAAAGGGAGCAATTTCCAGGTTTAACCTGATTTCCCCAGTGAACTGAAATATCCCCAGAATTGATAAACATAAAAAAATTGGAGATTCACGATAGAACGTGTTCAATAAAATGTCTGTCTCTGTAAACGCTTTCCAAGTCTGATTGCAGACATTAAGAATGGATTTAAAAATAAAATTAGGAGCTGAAGTGCTGGGAGCTACAGGAATTTCGCGATTCTTGATGCCCTAATGAAACATTCAGCCATGAAACAAACATTGAGTCCCTGCTATGAACTACCCTAGTAGTAAAGATCTCCCGAAAATTTTTGTGAATATAAAAAAGACAACACTTGAAAAACAATGATATTAACAAAACAGGAATTCTTTTCTGAATGTTATTAAAAGTAAAACTTAAGTAGGTACCTAAAAAAAGTTTTGGGAACTATTTCAATATCTTAAGTAAGTTTCCTTCAAAAGTATGATCATTATGAATCTTTCATGAATGCGCCCATTGAGTAATTCCTTCTTTGTAAATTTTGACAGTTTGTAAGAGTTTTCGGAAAGAACTTCCAATACTTGATGCTAATGGGAGAAAAATTTGATGTCAATCAAATAAGAGGAGAAGATACTAACTAATCAGGCTGACCAAATTATTTTTCCGAAGCCAATGCCTCCTATAGAATTTGGCTTTAAAATAATTCCTCTTGAGACAGGACTCTACTATTCTTCCAAGTTCCACTATGAATGACTGGACTGAAAGGTTTTGAAGGTGCTTTTCATAAAACATAAAACTTTTCAACTCATCATAATTTTTACAGAATACATACTGATTCGAAAATTTCCTATATTTCAATTTTCTGATGACAGACAAGGCGAATTGAAAGCCATCAAGAAACTTGAGGATAAGATACTTTTAAAGAAGATATAAATAAATCAAATTTTGGTTGTGTGATTTTCTGTTTTTTATTAAAAGTAACTTAAAGACTAAAATTATACATTATGAATTTCTCTTAACCGCCTGATAGCTGATCTGACTGAGGTGGCAGCAGTTGTGGCATACACATAGGCTCCCCCAGCGACTGTCCTCCTGCATCTGTCGCATGACCAGATCCCAACACAGCTCCTACGCATACTTTGCTGGAAGAGGAAAAAATTGTAAGTATTACTGTACATACTGAAGAAAAAAATTTTAAATCAGAAATAAAACAGAAACAGGATAATTGGTAAAGAGAGCAGAATAAAAACAGCAGTCATACTTTAATTGTAAGAGTTCAAAATATAAGTACTGCCTCTAGAAACGCTTGCAGTGAGTTCATGTGAATGGTACAATAAATTAGCAGTCCCATAACCACTAAACTACACACATTGTTAGCTGCTTATCCAGCAATGGTGGCAAAGTTGAGACCCCTTCTCCGAGTCCCAAAAACTGTTTAGAATTATAGGTATGAGAGCGAAGTGAGTCACAAGTTTTCAGTTCAGCTGACTAAATAAACAGATACAGGTAAAATAAACGTAGTTTTATGAGGAAGAGGGAAAGTATGGAAAAAAACCTGCCGGTAGACATAAGGTATTTTAAAAATAGGTATTTCTTGTCAAAGCAACTTCCACTTTTCATCGGCACAAATCAATTTTCCTGAGAACTTGAATTTTCCTGTGAAGGTCAAGGATTTCACTGTGTGCTTTAATATGTTCTGCAAGGGAGGAACTTGGATGCTGAACAAAATCCAAAGTCATACTAAATTGAGCACCTTAAGACAAATGGAGGCTACAGCTTGGAAACTTTATGCGTGCTCAATTACAGAGCAACCGGAGAGCTTTAGTAGAGCAAAAAAAAGTTTTTTCTGACCGTTTCATGATTTGGATTTAGCTGGCATTGGACTAAGAAGGCATAAGGCTAAACGGCCAGTAATAGGGATGTCGATACTTATCTGATACTTGCAAAGTATCGATACTTTCGATCGATACTTAACGATACTCGGCATCGATACTCCACGATATCGATACCATGCAGTATCCATGCCAAGACCCCAGTATCGACGGTATATCGATACTTAATCTGATTTGGCCATGAAGAAGGGCTCTTTTTCTTTTTTAAAAATTCTCTCCCCACTATTTCACCTTCATGATGCACTGTGACAAACGACGGAGTAATCAAGTTTCTCAAGATGATTAAACTTCAATAAAAATTGTAAAAGCTCAGTTCGATAACTGTAGTTAAGGGCTCAAAATAGTTGACTAAGGACGCGAACGGGGCTTTTTCGAGAGAGGCATAAATCTGGCGGAATTTAACGGCCGACAGACACATGCACACTCAGAATCACGGCATAATTCAGAAATAGTATCGATGGTATCGATACCTCATAAGTATCGATACTTCAGCTCGATGATCGATACCGGTATCGATGCTTAGAGTCGATACCGAGTATCGATACTTCCCTGAGTATCGACATCCCTAGCCAGTAAGACTGCAAGGCATTTGCGAACCTTAGATGCTCAACAAGATGAAGTATCTCCCAAGACACCTACAACAGGTCAAGGTTTTTGCAGAGAAAACCTTGAAAAATTGTTAACTCTGCTGAATTTCAACCGATTCTGGGGAGCTTTTTTTAAATTTTATTCTTAAATAAAGCTTCCTGATGGTATATGGGTCTAGGAATTTACTTAGCATTGACTGCATTTATGCAATTCTAACAGATTTTGTGGGACACAAAGATGTAATTTTTTCCCCCTTTAGTTTTTGAGTCGAGATCTGAACAAGAATCAGGAAGACATAAATAGTTCGGCTCAATTTCGCACCTAACTTGGTGGTATTGCAGCTGAAGGCAAGGTTCAAAAATAGCATCCAGAGGTAGAAATCTTGTTATTTATAGTTGAGAAATAAAAATGACCTGGACTTTAGTCAACCATGTGTACCTACTAATTTCTCAGAAGAATGAATCAAACTTAGGTAATCCATGTTTTAAAAGACCAACAAAACAATAATTTGCTCAAATACTCACTTTTCCACAAAAAGAGCAGGTATATTTTGAGTGCTGTGTGATTTCGATTTTCTTCACTTGCTTACGCAAACTGGCACCATACCGAGTTCCGTACTTTCCGGTGATTCCAACTTTCTTTGTACCACGAGTCTGAAATCAACCAGGAACAGTTTGATAGTTAACATTATGAATTAAAGTTTTTGAGGGCTGAAAAATAGATGATTGAGTGAACGAAGCAAGATATGGAGTTATAGGATGGCTGGGGATGGGTAAGGGTGTAAAGAGTGTAAGTATCTCCTGTAAGTTTGGCTGGTTCAAAATAGAAAGTCAATTAGACCATCAGAGATCGTAATCAGCACGGATATAAAGGTATCAATAAGCTAAACAGGGTTCTTTAGGTTCAGAGAATTTTGAAGGAAAATGAAAGGAAGATTTCCAGTCCTATCATGAAGAGTATTGTAACATAAAAGAAAAAGGTGTAGCATTTCAGAAGATCTGAAGAAATCTTTCGGATGAGGGAAATTAATTTTTGGCAAAGATCTGGAGGGATTCACCAATTTACCAAAGAGTGTTTGTTTATAATGAATGGTAGACCTATGTCTTGCCTGTTCGTTTCATCGTAGATCCGAGAGTCCGGCCCTGTATTGGAATACTTCGGAGAAACAATGTCTTCGTGCGTTGATCTGAAAAAACTATGAAAAACCGGACCGACAATCAGCTACCTTGCTGGTTGATATGCTTATATGTCAGGTCATTTGATAAATTATAAAAGTTGACTGATAATGGTGTAGATACCCAAAATGAACGATCAATCTAACCCAATGGTCCAACTGAAACAGTTGGAAGGATAAAAAGAGAAGGAAAAGCACTGATGGAAAAATGAAAAAAACACAAAAGTCCTTACCATTTTGGAAGAGAGAAAATCGACGAAGCCTCAAAATTGAGTCAAAATATATATGTACACGATGAAAATTGGAAGGTACTTTCGAAAATTCAACAGGCCACGTTCTAGACTTCGTTTAAAAGCCAGATGCAATTCCAATATAACCTCAAAACCTGGAAGCAACAATAAAAATACGCATGCGCAAGGACGCTAGGACATCGCTAGGAAGGTGCGCCAACATTGCAAACAACGATTAGCGAACTTGCGAACTTTCTGAAATCCTTCTCGGGGTGCATCAGTTTTTGGAGCGCTTTTTTTCCCCCTGTAAAAATCTAGGCGATACAAACATATTCCATTCGGATTTTTAACAAGAGAAAAAAGAACAAGTCCAACCGTGGGCGTCGGCGTTACATTATCACGTAAAAACGCCTTCAAAAAGAAAAAAACACACAACTTAAACGTAGCAATAATTGCCGTTTGCAAAGATGAAGGCGAAAAGTAATATAATGTTCTCAGATTGTTGAAGTACTTAAGTAATGTAATTTTTCTTTCTGCCTCAGAAATTTTGTACATATTTTGGCCAGACGTTATCTGCGGCACCATAGATTTAGGTAAATGAAAATATTTTAGGTGGACTGAAATGAAGGATTGGTTTTATTTACATCGGACAGCCAAACTGGAGAACAGAGGACTTCACCAGGCACTGGAATACTAAATTGATGATTGTAAAATCTGTGATCCAGTAATTTATACCTACGATACTTATTAACTCATAGGTCTATATAAGAGGTAAAATTTTATCATATCTAATTATAATTAATTTATTTTTTTATTTTTAATTTTTGTTAAATTTAATGTTTAAATAGTCAAATTTCAGTTAATTTTTTATTTCCGGTTACGTAGTTCGTAAATTAGTATACTCAATATTTTTAATATTAAAGATAAAGATATTACTTCAACCACTTTATCAGCGTAATTGCTATACTTTCATTCAGTTATTTGTCTTTAAGCAGGCATGAATTGCAATCAAATAATTTGATTGTAAAATGGAAACATATTTTCGCCGTCCAGCCATTATGGAATTATGGCTAGATGGCTGAAGTCAGTGAATGAGTTTGTGCCTCCACCGTAACATTACACAATTCCTGGTATATTCGTAGCTGGAATTGTATACAGTTCGTCGAGGCCGCGGCATACTTAGGGCGGTTCTAGGGGCGCCGCAAAAACGTACGAAGAAGGAAACGAAAATAGGGCGCCGCCGCAAACGCCCTGCCGCCCCTGCCGTTAGAAAGGGCGACACGGCAACATAGCGACGACAAAACTACCAGACCACGTATCTCGTTTGCGGGATTTCAAAATCCTCGCTCTTATTTTAAATTTTTACAAAAAAACATGTTTACATCATTTCTTGAATTTTTTTCAGAAGTTGCATTCACACGAGGAAGAAAAATCACCCAAGTTTTTAAAAATCGACGTTGAGTATCTTAAAATCTCATTGAGGATTTTTTTTTAAATTTATATTTTGTTCACTGTATCAGTATTGGATCCAATTTCTAAACGAGAAGCTCCAAATTGAGTCTGAGACGGCTCAAATTTTCCCAATTTGCCTGAGGAAGCCCCCCTCCCCCTCCTGACCCGCTTCAGGATCCCCAAACCTTCCCTTTGATGCCCCCTTCCCCTTCCACCAGCGGCCTGATTATTGAAACTATGTCGATTCGATACGATAAGACATAGCCTTATCTTTTCACAATTCGATGTCTTATCGGGCTGCCTTAAAGTTTAAACTTTCAATAATCGGCTCACCGGATTGCTGAGAACTAGATTCCTTTTCGAGATGAAGAATGAAGAGATGCGCTCTCTAACCACCCTCCTCCCTCCTTGTATGAAGCTCCCTCTTCCAGACCTATTGAGATCAAGCTATGAAATAGCGAAGAAATGTTATTTGTTGTTGAAGTGTACCATAGTGGCAGAGTGTACAAAAAATATCGAAGCCTGAACGTGTACAAAAATCTTTGTACAACAGAATGTGAAAGCAACTCCGTGTTCTGGGCGTCCTGTTGGTTGCCTTGGATAGTAGGTAGGAGTGGGGGCGAATTCCTGTTGCTGGTGGCTCCATCGCTCCACAATTTTGCCAGTTTGTTTTCCTCTCGCTGCGCTTATCAGACGTGTCGCTGAGCGCTGAACGCCATCGTAGACCGTGTCGAAGTGATAAGTTTTTGTGTCGTGAGACTTTGGATAATCCTTATTTTGTGTGGTGTTTTTGTGTGTTGAATAGCAGACAACTATATCGTCTTTTGGATTGCCAAGAATGTAAAGGAAAGGAAGCTATGTATCCAAAGAAGCAACATGTGTCACTAGGTGAGTTTTCAAGTAGCCTCCGTTTCCATTAACCTGTCTCATACTTTCATATTTTACGTGTCGCTAGGAACTCAGTTGTTATTTACCATATTTTAGTAGAGGCTAAGGGAACTCCCTCAGAACATTCCAATAATCAGCAAGAGCTCCAAATACTGCTGTTGCATACCGAAAGCGCTCTTAGAATCACTGTAGTTTCTGTTTTGCTGGGGATCTTCCAATCAAATAGTCGGCTCTGAACATTAGATCAGACTGGTTTTCCCTAACTAAAAATAGCGTTTTGCATAGAACTAGAAAATAACAGTACATACCTTATCGTGCTCCTGATTATCATATTGATGGCTACACTTGGAATCCTTCTAACTTATCTTGTTTCATTGTGGACCAGCAACAAGTACATGTCGTACCTCATTTTTTAATCTAATGAATCAATCAGCGTATCAGAATTTCTTAAACATATTCTCTGTTAAGATCCGTTCTGTCTGATTTTGTCAACATTTCAACCATTGAAGGGTGCATTCTCTTTCTAAGGAAATAACAGGATTCGAGTGGGGACATTGATTAAAATAGAAGATATTATCTTCGATGTTTCGGTATCACCCAGTTTGGTTTTGACAGAGGGATCACAGTCTTTTTCATTTTCCACGTTTGAGTGCATTTCATCTTTCTAATGAAAGTGAGTATAATCAGCCATAAATCAGACCAAGGACTGTATAGGAACTCAGTCTGCAGAAATTTGATGAACCTTACTTTCTAACCCTCCTTACGGCCTGTTTTTACCTTGGTCATGCTTCAGCAGTCTTGCTGCTGGTGTTTTCAGTTGTACGGTATAGTCCATGCCGAATAAGATAATGCACTTTTAGACTGCAACTGAAGATCGCCTGACGTCACTTTCACAAGTAAAGTAACTGTAAGAGGCAAGATAGCGGATCTGTCGCATTCACAAAGTGTGCAAACTTATTTAGCGGAGACTCTACCAGTCATTGATTCACTATCAGATGAATGAAATGACCAGGTTTGGATCATCGTAGGAATTATTTTTCCAATCATAACAAAAGCATATCAGAAATTGCCCGGCTGCTCTGACTTTCCGTCAGTTGCCGGACAGAATTTAAAATGGTTTTACTACCTTTATTTTATCTTTTATTGATAATCAAAACCACAAGGGTTTACTTTTTAACTAATTTTCACTACCGAAGATTCTTATTTATACTAATTCTAAATCTAATCCATTGAAATATTAGACATGGCTTATGCAATAATGGATCTGGTTTTGTGTCACATTTTACATTCTTTGGAATTTGCTTTGCTTGGTGAATTACCACTAGAAACTATGTACTATTGACTAAACTTGGGCATGATGGGAAAGTCTTTATTCAAAAGTACCTAGTCAAGCAATTTTTTTTTTTTTTTTTTTTTCCTAAGGAAAAAAAGGAAAATTTTGGCAACATTACTTGGTAAGGGAATTTTTCAAGAAAATCAATCAAATCTTGATATTTCACCCCATTTCCTATGCCCAGTGGCGCATAATTTCATCAAAGGTACAGGGATTTTTTTTTTTAGAAATGCCTCATTCAGAAGTGTTCACAAAACCCTAGACTGCGGAATCATGTTAATAGATCTCTTGCCAAGGTACAAATTCGTCGATTCTCGGACGAAGGAACGTATCTCCATTCCAAGGTTGCCAAATCGAATTACTCGACTATAATTTTTACTCGAAAAAAATTGCGCGATTTCCGTCCAAAATTTCGTCGAAAATCCATGAAAAGTTCAAAGGAAAACTCCGGAAATTTCCCCAGCAAAATTAAAAATTGGGAAAAGTAATTCGGCAATGTTGATATGGACGTATTTATGCTAAAAGGAACTATGTGCATAGGGTTTGTGTGTGACATAGTTCCTTTCAGCATAAATACGTCCAAATGTAGTTCCTTTCAATATAAATACGTCCAAATGTAGTTACTCGCGCTGAAAACGAATTGCACAACGGAAAGACTGGGAATACATTTGGTCGTATTTATGCTAAATGGAGCTATGTGCAAGTGGAAAGATGGGGTGTGCTCGTTAGTGCTCGGGTCATAAGAATAAATGGGAAATATAAAGCGCCAGTGACGTCAGCGGCAACGACGATCGGCAAGGTTAATTGATAATCCCGCTTTTCCATTTTCTCCAAAGGAACCATATCCACTTTTACATTGTTTCTCATGCCGCTTCCACGAGCACACCCCATCTTTCCACTTGCATACAGTTCCTTTTAGCATACGTCCAATTTCTGAAAAAGATACAAGCAGGCCCGCCACAAGGGGGGAGATACTTGGTCCCTGGTACCGGGGCCCAGGCCCCGGTGGGGGCCCGTGTTACCCGTTAAAAACCGCTACGAATTCACATGCAACCCCTGTTTCGTAAGAAAAAGTGAAAAATTTACCATAAAAATTTCGCAAAAGGTGAATAGATTTTCAGAAACACGCTGGGGCACTGTAGAATTATTCTTAAATTTTCAAAGAAGTATACTTCTTGGAAAATTTCTAAGTATTTTCAAGATTTTCAGTACAGAGGGATGGAGGCTATCTCCATTTAAATCTTCCATCACATCCTTACGGCGCAATGATACAACTATTTGAACTCTCCGGAATGCGTGAGGTATCACGCCGCATTTGAAGGCGTTTTCAAAACAGCTTAGTTCCGATACCCGGATTATCGTTTCGCATAGTCATATTCTTATGTTATATTCCGTACCACTCGTTTATTTTTAATTCTCGTAGAAAAACCATCCATTTGCTAAATACAATTCTAGCTGGAGCACATTCAGCTATGCATTCACCACTGCAAAAATGTCAAAGGAAAGCGACACGCCCAGCGTGTATGGAGGCTATTTCCATTTAAATCTTCCGTCTCATTCTTACGGCGCAATGATACAACTATTTGAACTCTCCGGAATGCGTGAGGTATCACGCCGCACTTGAAGGCGTTTTCAAAACAGCTTAGTTCCGATACCCGGATTATCGTTTCGCATAGTTCATATTCTTATGTTATATACCGTAAAACTGGTACCAGGGCCTTAGATGGGATGTGGCGGGCCTGGATACAAGTAGTGTCTAATGCTTAAGTACATTGGTTGAATGAGAAAATACATACTGTGTACAAATACATCATTCGTAGAATCTGATTTTCATCTGATCTGTGTTAAATTAATCACTTTTTTCTCGTTTCTGAGTTAATTTTCGGACTTTTCTTCATGGGGATCGTTTTCTGCGTGAGATTTTGAAGAGTTCAAATGTGACTTAATTTCTAGTTTAGACCTCGTCTAGTGGCCCATTCAACGCGTTGAAGTAATGGGTGACGTGAATCTGTTTTCGGCCTTTCGCTTGACTCAAATCAAGTCGTGAATCAATAGCTTTCGTAAACATAATAATCCTGCCCTCGAAATGGTTGCGACTCGAGTGGGCGGTACGCAATTCATAGCGTAAGCTGCGTATTTTGTCCAGGATGAGACTCATCGTCCCTATTCTTGCGACATGGCCGGTTTGTCGAAAGCGAATACAGTTTCGGTTATCACTGTGGATCATCAGGGTGTCTACAAGTCTAGAATTTCCGGAAAGTTCGGAAAGAGTACTGATTTTTTAAGGGCGGTCCGGAAGCACTGAAAAAGGGCGGAAATGCCGCAAGAAGATCCGGAAATTTTTTCATATTTTTGTCATATTTATTGCAGTTTGAGCGAGAAATTAAAATTTTTGAAATTTTTTCGAATTTCGTCAAATGGAGAGTACTGCATTTTTCTGTTGAGGTACTGAATTTCTTGGGAATGTACTGAAAAAGTGCTGTAAAAATACTGATTTTTGGCCAGCCTGTTTTAGTAGACACCCTGATCATGATTTGAGGCACAAAACAAGGAGCTTAAACGAAAGAAGTAATAACGTAAAGATAAGACGAGAAAGTTGCTGGAAGAGGCCCGTCTCATCGTTTGGCACCAAATCAAAATAGGTACACTGGAGTTTTCATTTATTTCTTCCATTCTAAAAAAATATTTTTCAATATTTTCCGCATAATTATTTCAAGTTTGTTTGGAAAATAATTCGTGTAGGTAACATCCACTATCTTGGATTTTTGAATTTTGAAAAATTGAGTTGAAATTCAAGTTTTCCCTCTAAAAAGGCCATTTGCTACGATCGAACAGGAGCCGTATACTGCCACGCTAAGGAAGAACGCCGTAAAAGCCTTCAGACGTTGCCAAGTTTTCTTCGATAAAAACTGAATTTGCTGGGAAAATTGTGAATATTTTTTTTCAAAATTTTCAGACAATTTTGTACGCAACTTAATCTGAAACATCTGAAAATATGAGAGAAAAATGTGCATGACTGTCGTCAAAAATATATGTTTTATCAAGGGAAATTCGGCAACTCTCGAATGTTCATATGGCGTACTTCCTTAGCACGGCAGTATATTGGAGCATCATTAGAATCCAACTCGGTGGTAAACGATACCTACGTGCGGCTGTGCGCCTTCATTTTCGTCTGATACTGTGCAACACTTCTGTGGCGGAATAGTTGCTAAGAGCGCCTTCAACGGTATCGCTTCGACTTAACGGCGGAAGATGACGATTACCGCTGAAATTCCAGCCTAGGGCGTGCGCAGTTACACATTTTCTCATCTCCGACGGCGAGGCGACAAACATTCACATCGCAATTTTCGACCTTGCATTTTCCCCCGGCCTATTTTATGAGGGTAAATGTGATCACTTTAAAATTTTTTCTAATTTTTCCGGGATAAGTTGAGAAATACCAAGTAGTTCAATGTTTTATTCGAGTCTATTAGTACGCTTTCGTTTAACATGGAAGAAAAGCATGAGTAGGAGCTTTCGGAAGAGCAAAAGCGGATCCGAAATTGGACGTATTTCTGCCAAACGAAACTATGTGCATTATGACCCTGGAAAGAATTGGCAGTAGAATCTGTGTTCCAAAATACCATAGACCTACAGCCGGCTGTAAGATTTCCTATAGCTTCCATAG